GAGCGTCTACGCAGTCCTGAAGGTACAGGAGACTGAAGCACATGACAGTGCCTGTTCAGTGTCCACAGACTCATGTGTTCTCCCACTTAGGTCAAGTCCTTTAATTCTCACACCATGCCCCAAGGTGGGCGCCCAGGATCCCCCACCTAGGAACAGGGAAGGCTCTTGCAGAGTGTGCCTATGTCCTCTTGTTCTGGCCCAGTTGATCCCAGCAAGCGGATATGACCAGGCACAGGTAAGTCAGCAAGAGGACCACAGGTGGCAAATTCTATCCCAAGAGGAGTGGGGTTGAGGAGCCCGAGGACAGCCTGCTTCACAACCCCTGGCATCTCAGACCATGCACACTTGGGAGGTGGAAGGGGTCCCTGACAATGCCACAAAGACAGACACGTCAGACAGAAGGAAGCTGCCCCCAAAGGGCAGGGGCCGTGCGAGGGAAAGGAAGTCACCTATCTGCAAGAAGGAGTCATGGCGCCCGGTGTGGGCAGGCGGCACAGATGCTGGGGGCAGGTTGGGAGATGGGCTGGAATCACTGAGAATCTCAGTGCAGGAACTGAACAGAGCTGTCCCCAGGCGCGGTCCCCGCATCCTTTCCCTGCTTGCTGTTCTGTGGGGAGAGGGTTTTCCCAGTGCTGGCAGAGGTACAGGTAGGGGTTCCTTGGTGTTAGTTCTGCAAGCCAAATCCTCAAAATGAAACTGCTGTGCATCTGACCTCACAAGCAAAAATGAACAAGTAATTACCAAGACCAAGTAGAACTTTCTCTCTCCAAAAACATAAATATTCTCAGCTCCAAACTGGTAGTACCCCTCTAGCTCCTGAGGAGTGTGTACTTGTAAACCTCTGCCTAATAAATCCCTTTATGCTGCATAAGAAGTAAATAATTGGGAAGTCCAGTCACTGAGAACGCAAGTTAGCAGAGGCAAGAATGAATAAAAAAACTCCCTTTAAAAAAATAAAAAATAAAATAAAAAACTCCAAGGGTAAGCTGAGTTGTAGCTTACAGTATTAAGGAAAAAGATTAGCAAATGGGAAGATAATCTCAGAACTTACCTAGGATGCAGCTGAGAAATCAAGGGGAAAAAATGTGAGCACCGGAAGCTGCTGCCTGTTTTATAAATAAAGTTTTATTGGGACACAGCCATGCTCATCTGTTCACGTTACCTGTGGTTCCTTCTGCACTACCAGAGTTGGGTGGAACAGTTGGGAGATAGACTGTGTGGCCTTTGAGCCCAGAATGCTTGCTTTCTGGACTTTAAAGAAAACTTGTGCTCCTGCTTTCGCATGGATAGATGGACGGATGGAAAGATAGATATAACTGAAGATATAGACTAGATACATACAGATCTAGATTTTTACCTAGGAAGCCAGGGGGAAGACATGGAGAGAAAGAGAGGAAAACATAAAACGTAAGGACCAAGTCTTCCAAACTAATTTAAAATGGGAAGCCACACATACGGAGATGACAACATATTCCAAGCAAGATTCACTAAAAGAAAAACGGGCCAGCCTCGGGGCTTGAATTTCATCCCCCAAAAGATGTAAGTGTTCCCGTCAAGGCGATCTTATTGGAAACCAGATCTTCACAGATGTCAAATTAAGTGTTGACTTTTGTTTTTCAGGGCCGGAGATGAACCTCAAGGCCTCGGGCACGCTCAGCACACAGTCTGCCACTGAGTTACATCTCCCGCCCCTAAGTTGAGAATCTTCAAATGAGATCATCTTGCATTTAAGGTAAGCCCTAACTTCAATGACTGTTTCTTGGATGGTTTTGTTTTGTTTTGCTTAAGCAAAAGAGGGAGAAAAAAAGAGAGAGGAAGTGGAGTGGCAGAGGGAGGAAGAATTGCCACATGAAGACCGGCGATGGCCACACCGGGAAACATGTGGCGCCAGCAGAGCTGGAAGAAGCCGGGACAGATTCCCTTCTAGAACCTTCGGAGGGAGTTGGATGTCTTGGCTCCTAGAATTAAGAACGAATAAACTGTCTGCTGCTTAAAACCACTCAGGTTTGTGGTAATTGGTTATGACAGCCACTGGGAACCAACCAGTTTTGCCGTCTAGTGTGATAAAATAAGAATGATTCCAAGTTCTTTGCCATTCCCACACGAAGAGATGGTGAATTTCTGTCCCCTTGAATCCGCGCTGGCCTGTGACTGATTTGAACACAGGAGTGACGCTCGGCCAGCTCCAGCCCCAAGCGCTTGGAACCCTGGCAGGTTCTGCTTTTATGCTTCTGGGAGCGTGGAGCTGCCACGTGAGAAGTGTGGAGACCCTGTGAGGAGACCCTGTGTGAAGCCACCCAATGCTCGGAGCTGGCTTCCCTCTCCTCCTCACCCCAGCCCCGCGCCAGGGCCTGACCTCCAGGGTGAGCCCCTAGCACCTTCTGGACCCCAGGGCACTTCCCCAGAGTCCCTCCCAGGGGCTCCTGTCACATCTGGTGAGCCACCTTGAATGTCGCCACCCAGCTGAGCCCCAAGGTAATCCCAGCTCCTTCCAGCCTGCACCGTGGAAGAACCAGCCAGCTGACCCCAGAGTCACCAGGCAGTGGAAACCCGATAAAGAGGACACACTTACAGGTACCAGCACTGCAGGAAAGGCAAGTGCTGCAGAAAAGTGTTTGGTGACTGGCTCTGGTTGCCTGCAGATGAGCTGAACATAAATTCTTTAGATATGCATGAGTAGGAGCTTATTAAATCTCCAGGCGAAAGTGAAGTCTTAGATTTTATTGTCCCAGGACTAATTTTTAAATCATTGTCATGGGGCAGTTCCCAGATTCGATTTTGCTTCTGCAGAAGGGTGCACGCGGGAGGTGGCAGGCACGCAGGACAGAGGAGGGGTGCCCTTTCACCCCTAACCCGCAGCAGCAGCAGCAGCTGATCTTCGGATTCACTGGTGGAATTCAAAGGCTGATAATCGCAGTGGGCTGGCTCAAGCAGCGTGGGCCGGGGGGTGGGGCTGCTGAGTAAGGCAGAGATGGGGGCGTGCGGTTTGGAAGGCAAGGTGCTTGGTTCTTACCCCAGAATCCAGCTGTGTTTGGGAAAAGGTACAGGGCCCTCATTTTTTGGAGCTTGCAATATTAATGGGGGGTAGAGAGTAGATGGCAGGTCATTTTAACCCAAAATGGCATTGTTTTGGCCTTGTGCTTTCACAGAAAAGACAAAGCTCACCTCTCACACCATACATGGGAGTAGTTTATTGTTAATATATTAAGTAACACCCCCTTTTATACCAAAGTGAATAAAACTGATCTAACAAAACATCAGATTAATGAATATTGAGTCAAATCATCATTTTAAAAAAATTCATGATTAAATATGTGCCTTAGGGTCAAAGCCATCACCACCAGGGGGAACTATAGAGGCAAAATGATACTTCATTCAGGCTAACCCTGCACACCCTAGTCAGAAAAAAATCCTGCGTGTCATGATTACCCTCCGTTCAAGTCTCAGCAGCAGGGAAAAAAAAAGAAAAGAGTATCATGAAAGAAAGAAAGAGAGGAAGAACACATCATTCCTGAGAAAATAAAGAGAAGAGACCAAAATAAAGAAAACCATGTGTCTTTCCTATAATTACGAAGTCCCCCGGTGAAACCTTTATGCAGACTTCGCAATGCTGCCCTTTGAAGATCTGTCAGGGCCCCTGTGGAAACGACAGTCGTGTGATCTATTTGCTGTTTCTCCACCAAGCACAGACTCAAAAGCTCTTCAGCCTTGGCAATGCTGTTGATTTATGCTTCCTTTAAACTCCTGCTGTACTTTTATTGGATGATCCGTTCCTCCTGACCCATGGATGTCTCCGCTGAGCTTTTTAAAACAAGCTTGCTTTTTTCTAAATGACTTTGTCTCAAAATCTCCCATTTCCAGGGGCCCTGGAGTCAGGGGCGCAGTGTGGGGTGGGAGAGGACACTACCCCGAAATAGGGCTAAATGGGCAGCTGGGTTCTGCCTCTCAACCCCAAAAGTGCTGGCAGTGGGGTGTGTGTTTTCCCCAGGAAAGAAACTGGAGGAGGGTATGCCCCAGAAGTAACTGATGTTCCCAGCAAAAACAGTTTACAGAAACTAATAACTGCAGCCCCCAATAAATCCCAATAACCCCCAACACCCCCACAGAGAAGCACATTTCCTGTACATCCTACCAAAGCCCACTGAGAGGAAGGTCTCTCTCTCTTTTTCATTCATTTATTTTGTTCTCTGTTCTGGTTTTCTGTTTGTTTTACCCTCTATTAGACATCATCCTCTAATATCACCATGTGCAGGCTCTTTCTAGCATCCTTGTTTATTAGTACATTTTGCAGTACACAGAGTGCACGGTCATCCGGGGAGTGCATACACACACTATACGACTTGCCTCGTTTTTCTGCACGCCCTCCCCTCCCACCTCCTCTGAATCCCTTTTCCCCATTTTCATTCTTGTGCATATTATTAAACTCACCTTATGTTTATGACCCGCAATGTTTCCATTCCCTGAAGTCATCAGGCCCCTGCGCCTGGCACACCTTTATTCTTCGTGTCTCCCTTCCCCTTCCCCGAGCTCTCCTGGGCCCCTCGACATGTGGAAGAGCCTTGGCCCTGTGTCCTCTTCCTGTCACCATGCCCTTCACTGGCACTGGGGGCCTCACGAATGAGAGATACTCTCTTCTGTCCCAGAGTGAGACGGTCCTAAACAAGACGGCTGGGAAAGAAGAGCAAAGCAAACTCCAGCAGCAGAAGAAAACTTCAAAGAGCGCAGGGCAAACTCCCCAAGACAGTAAGATGCATGTGCGAGACAGGATGAGAGACCGAAGGGCCTAACCGAAGGGCAGGGTGAGTTCCTGGGAAGGAATGGGCGCTAGCTAAAACGGGGACCCGAAGGTCTGGCTGCAAATGATTCAAAAATTGTTCCAGAAAGTGGACTACAGCAGCTAAACAAGAGGAGAATAGTAAAACAAAATAAAACGCTCAGTGTGGAAGGCGACACCCAAGAAAAGGAGGTCTAGAGAAAAATAATAATATGGAGAGGAAAAGTTAAGTTTAACAATTTTTATTAGTACATGATTATGGTACAAAGTGAACACATTCATCAGTGGGAAGTTGGTACACATATGTATCACATCTCAGTTTTTTTACTTCCCTCCCCTATCTCTCCATCCCTAGATACCTTTCTCTTCTCCAAAAGGTCTCTCTTCCTGTTTCCTACCATCTGTCTTTTATTTTGTTACTTAAATTATTTATACTTTGGGTTTCTCTTACTGTATAAGAAAACTCACATACTATTTAACCTATGGTCTCAAGGTGCACCCACTTTCCTACATGACTCAAATTTGTCTTTTTTATGGCTGACTAGTACTCCACAATGTACATATGCCACATTTTCTTCAGAGAATAGATTACTAAAGGAAAAAGAACCCACACTGCAACCACTGAGGAGCAAGCTTTTCCAGACTGACCAGGTCAGAGAGTGCCCAGCACCAAAATGGGAGACACTTTTCCCACCAAAAAACTTTCTAGAAACAAGTTTTAAAATATTTCAGAGGAGATTTTATAAGTTGGAATAACAGCAGCTTTTCAACAGCAGCACAGGACACTGGGAGACAGTAAAACAAAGGCTGCAAAGAGTCTCCTACCTAGAGCTGTGTAACTAACCCAAGTAGCCATTCAAGAAGGAGTGGTGCCTCCTTCTTCCCAAGGGAGACACTGTCACGCAGGCTCAGACCTGCGTCCCCGAGACGTCCCTTCTGAGAAGGTACCTGAAGACTGGCTTCGCCAAGTGGGAAGAAAACCAGGTGATACAAAGGGAGGGCGGGAGGGGAAGGAGGGGGAGAAGGAGGGCAGGAAGGGGAGGGAGGGGTGATACACAGACACTACCTTCGGTAGTGTCTATGAGGAATGGTGTTTGCATGAGTCTCAAAGTCCCCACAGAAACACTCGCCATCTGCAAAGGGAACTGGAGCAAATGCACAGCAGGGAATGCCAGCAGATGTCAGCTTCATCAGTGATGGAATCCAACAGTGATGGTTGTAGAAGACGACACAAGCTCCTCTGCTTGCTTGCAGAACAGCTGCTACAACACTGGTTAAATGGAGTCTTATTTCCATATACTGATATGTACAGGGCTGGCGCTGGTATTTCTTCTCTTCAACTGGCTCTAAGCAATGCAAGTAAGGCCGGCTGAAGTACTGATGGGTAATCTTTGAAGTCAGTCTGACAGCCTCCTGTTCCTCGCATAGTGCTGTCTGTAAAAGATCCACACACAAGGGATGGCAGAGCCAGTCAGCTCCAGAAATGTCAGCTGGGTGCCAGACTCAAAGTAAGAGGCTCTGAGTCCCCAGGGAACAAAAGTTTACATATTAGTGGGGCTGGGGATTTAGCTCAGCGGCATAAGCGCCTGCCTTGCAAGCAGGCAGTCCTGAGTTCGATCCCTGGTACCGATAAAAACGAAAAAGACCAAAAAAAAAAAAAAAGAAAAAAGAAAAAAAAAACGTTTACATATTAGTAACTGAAGCATCAGCATCCAACAACAATTCAATTTCTACCTGAATTGTATTATGCAGACTGATCCTTTTGCATGTCATTCTCCCTGCATTTTGCAAAGATGCTTTTCTCTCCACCTGCCAAGCCAGTTCAGGTTACTCACGTGATTCCCACCATCCTCACTGTCACTCATCCTGGAGCCACGCCCCTTCTTCACAAGATAAGGAATGCTGGGAGAGGCCTAGGATCAGGGCCTCTCTGCACACCCTCACGGAGATTGGACTCAGGACCCCTTGGCTGTTCTTAAGTTGGAATCTGTCTTGGTGTCTTTACTCTCGCCGTGGGTTGTATTGGAGGTGGTGGATTGGAATTAACTTGCCGGGATTCCAATCACGTCTCAAGGGGATTACAAATATAACCTTTTGGATTTTAAGGAAAACAGGAAAAGGGATTATGATACTCAGTATTTGGGATTACAATGAACAGTGATGCAGCAAGTTAAGATCCCGTGCCGTTTGCCAGGAAGTGCTGAGAACACAGCCCCTGGCTAAGCAGCATCAGGGGAACTGATCCTGAGGACCCTCCGACTGAAGGGGAAGAGTGGGTGAAATAATAAGACGGGCCCGTGGGCGGTGCGCGGCTCTGGGCTGGGCCTGTGTGTGTGTGTGTGTGTGTGTGGCAGGATTGTGATAAAGGGTGTCACCGGGGAAACTGGTAGAATTCCAGTACAAGCACTGGCTTAGGTAACATTAGTGTTTGAACAGCAAATGCCCTATTCTCAGTGATCGCACTGAAGGCTTGTTTTGGGAAATGTGTAATGAAGAATTTGGGGTACAAGGAGAATGAGGTCTGCAACTTACTTTCAAATGAATCCGAGGAAGGAAACAAGCCATGGGAAGAAACAGGCGCCGCAGGACTCTACAGTAGGTGGGGCTCCCCGAGGTCACGCAGTGCTGAAGCACTTCCCTTAGCCTGACCTCGACCTCGTGTAAACCGACAGGAAGGCCCCTGAGCCGGTCCCCTGTGCTCTGCGGACGTGAGCCTGGGAGAAAGAAATGCCCGGTGAGACTTCTGTTTCTCTCCATGAAGACAAATTGGCAAACTGTGCGTTCAGGACAACTGCGGAAGCTGGGAAACGGCCAAGGGCAGTGTCCCAGGCTGAGTCCAGACGGATCCCAGGGGAAGGAGACCCCAAGAGGTAAGCCCGCAGCTGGTGCTTCTCCCACAGGAGCCTGAACACAGGCCACAGTCAGGTGAGCAGAGCCGGCGTCGGTAGCACTGGGTGGGCTGGAAAGAAAAAAATATAGACTTAGCAAGACAGCTAAACTCCAAAGCAAAAATGCTAGGCGGGAGAGAAGTGCAGAGAGAGGAAAGTGACGTTCCGTGTGGATTTTGCTCGAGGTATTTCCTGCCCCTGTGCTGACTTACACATACACAGCTGCTGTAGGCCAGCGAACACCAAAGCAGGCGGGTGGCCGTATTGTGGGAAGATGCCCGGTGGACAGGAGCCGTTCGTCTTCCTGGGGCCTCACAAAGTGATCTGACTGGTGTCCTTGTAAGAGGAGGGGACACAGAGACCCGGACAATGGCCACGGGACCATGGAGCAGAGATCAAGGACACCTGGGTCCCCAGGGCTGTAGGGGGCTTGGGAGGCACAAGGCAGAAGGGTCCTTCCCTCACTCCTGCTGAGGCCGGGACTTCCGACTTCCTCCCCGGCAGGCCCAGAGGATGGGTTCCTTTCTCTAAGCATCGGAAAAGCCCAGACCTCACTCATGGTCATCGGTTTTAAGTCGGCCCAGCAATCAGAACTCAGCCCCAGCCAGAGTGGAGGAGGCGAGGCTCCATGCCAAGCTGTACGCCAAGACCCAGAGGGACATGCCCAAAGGCCAGGCCAAGTCTTCTCAAGGGTGGGCCATGCCAAGATGAGCAGAAGGGACAGGTGGAACCAGGGTGTGACGGCGGAACAATTAGGGTGCTGAAGCAGCGAGAGAGGGTGGGGAAAGGAACTTTTTTTTGTCTTTTTGAGACAGGGTTTCTCCATGCAGTTCAGATTGGCCTTGAACTTTTGTAGCCCACACTGGCCTCGAACTCCCAGCGATCCCCCTGCCTTGGAGCAAGGAATATTCGAAAAAACACTAATCTGAAAAACTTCCAAAGCTGACAAGACACCAAAACCCCAAATCAAGATGCTCCGCCAACTCCAAAGAGGATCGAATCAGCCGAGGAGTTTGCTCACAGTGGCGGGCTTGCCTGGCGAGCACAAGGGCCTGCGTCCAATTTCCAGGCTTCCTAAAGATGAATTCTTCCCAGGCAAATCAGTGTTACTGATGGAAATCGAGAGCCAGCAGGCCATTGTCTCACACACCTGTAATCCCAGCCACTTGGGAAGCTGAGGCAGGAGATGGCTAGTTTGAGTCCCGCTCGGGCAATTAGCGATTTAACAAGGCCTTGTATCAAAATAAAAAGCTGGAAGGGCTGGAGATGTAGCTCGGTGTAAAGATACGGGGGTCAATCCCTACACAGAAAAAACAAACAAACAAAAATCACTCAAAGCAGCAAGAATGAGAGTGACAACCAACTTTTCGACAGGAATGCCAGAAGCCAGGAGATCCTAGAATAGAAAAGAACCCATTTAAAGGGGTGAGAGATGTTGACAAAAACCCTGGCAGGAATATCAAACCTGACAGTGAAATGCTGAACCTGCCAGCGAGACCAGGCACACTGCAAGAGGCTTCCTCTCCTCATTTCTCTCCGGAGTTTGCCAGAGCTGGCAGAAAAGCAACAAACACGGAAAATAAGAGCCCGGCAGGGCTGTGGGGCAGCAGCTAGCAGTTCCCTGCAGGCAGGAATAGTGTGCGCCTCAGCAGCTGGCTTTGGGGCTCTCCCCTGTCCCCGATGCAGGGATCCAGGGTGACCCGTGCAGTGGGCACAGTCCCTGGTCCATGTGGCTGAGGTAGCAGGCCGGAGGAAGAGGCGCCTGGATTGACGTAGCCATCGCTGGCCAGGCACACGGCATCCTGCAAGGTGGCGCGCTTGGGCACCTGTGCATTCTGCATCTGCCACATAAACCTCCCCATGCGCAATGGAAAGTGACATTAAATCATCAAAGACAAGTCAGCCTTTGTGGCACACTTGGGAGGCTGAGGCAGGAGAATTGCCACTAGTGTGAGGCCAGCCTGGACTACACAGTAAGACCCTGTCTCAGAAACTCAAAAACACCAACAAACAAAATGACCAAAACTAACCAACTGTGACAAGTGGAGACAGACTGCAGAGTAAAGGAAAAAAGAAAAAAAGTTTGTCTTTTCAGTACCTTTGATGTCACTTCTTTCCTGCTTTTGAACAAGCGCCTTACTTTATCACCTTGTCCTGGCCCAGCAAATAACACGGTGGCTCAAACCAGGTAAAGTCAGCATTAGGAAAAGGGTGGGGAGGGCTCAGTGTTCTCTGGGACAGGAGGAGAGGATCAGAGCTGGGGAAGTCTCCTGACACCTGCCCTGCTCTCCTGAATGTTCGCCCTGCACCAGGCAGAACTCCGAGCTGAGATGTATGCACCGTGGGGCACTGTCTTTGGAGAATGAAAATTCTTACAACACCCTAAGGTACTCAGTCTCTTTCGGAGCTCTTTAAAATGTGTAAATAGTTTAGTACGTATTTCCAAAAAACAAGAACTCTTTTCTTAAAACATAGAAGCATCGTATCACCATCCATGGTACCTGGAAAAATCCATACTGATGCTTTGATAGCCTTGAATACCAGGCTTCCCCCTGTGGTTCTCTTATATTGTAATACCAGCATGGAATGTTGTAATCTAAGTGTCATAATTCCTTTTCTAATCTTCCTCACAATCCAGAAAGTTAAATTTGTACTCCCATTGAGACATTATCGGAATCCCGGCAAGTTAATTGCAATCCACCACCTCCAAAGCAACCCACAGCAAGAGGGAAGACACCAAGACAGATTCAAAGTTAAGGGCAGCCAAGGGACCCTAAACCAAACCCAAGTGCGGACAAAGGCCCTGATCCAAGGCCTGTCCCGGAATTTATTCTCCTGTGGAGAAGGGGGTGGCTCGAGAATGAGTGACACTGAGGATGGTGAGTAACCTGAGCTGGCCACCAGGTGGGGAGAAAAGCATCTCTGCAACATGCAAGTAGATAAGCAAAAAGACCAGTCTGCATAACCGGATTGGGCTAGTGTGTGGCTGAATTTAGGAGGCTGCTGCTTTAGTTTCTGATAGGTAAACTTTTGTTCTCTGGGAACTCAGAGCCTCTTACTTTGAGTCTGGCACCCAGCTGACATTCCTGGAGCTGACTGGCTCTGCCATGTGCTGTGCTCAGATCTTTTACAGACAGCACTATGTGAGGCTGTCAGAATGGCCCCAAAGATTACCTAAGAGACAAAGAAATACCATAGCCAGCTCTGTACACAGCAGTATAAGGAAATAAAACTCGATTTAACTAATGTTGTAGCAGCTGTTCTGCATTCAAGGAGAGGTGCCCAGGTCGTCTTCTACACTCTTATACATCAGTCTGGTGGGCAAACAGCTGCCCACCATGCCAATGGCCGGGGCCTCTGGAGCATCTTTCCATCCTGGGGTTCCCTCTGTCCCTTGCCCTTACCTGTGAGGAAACGGCACTATCTTTCCCAAAGCTGCCCACATTCTAGACCTGCTGTTAGACCCTCTGATGTCGTGTCACATAGTTTCCATCCCTGGGTTTCCTGAGCATTGGCACAGTGGTAAGGACGTCCAGGGAGAGGCTGAGTCAGGTTGAGAGGGGAGGTTCTGGGTGAGACACTGAATGAGGGATGGGTGCTCCATCAGAGGAGGCAGCGGGAGCCCCTCCCCTGTCCCCCCTTCCTGAAGGCCGCCACTGATGGATGCTGAGGAGATCACAGATGACACCACAGTGTCATCACAGCCCTGAAAAACGCTGCACCCTAATCCCCCCAGCCCTATGCTGTGTATCACAGCACACCCCAGAAGAGCAGATTCCCTCTGTGGCCCCTCTTTACCCCACAGGTAGTTCTGATCTGCAGCACCTCAGATTCTTTGCTGTTTTCTTTTCCTTCACAACTCAATCCCCCGCCGGGTAGCTTCCTCCTGAGAACTGTAACAGTGTCTAGCTGAATCCAAAGATCCACAGTTTTAAGTCACTAGATCATTTTCCCTTCCAGTTTTACTGTGTTGCATTCATGAGATCTGTGACATTCTTTCTCTGCTTTTTTTTCTCATGACATTTTCTAAATAAATGAGGGAGGTATGCAGTAAAATACTGAAAGGTTGCACAGAGCTCACCGAGGATGCCACTCGCCAGAGATGTGCTGTGTGTGGTCAGGTCCATGTGGAGTGGGGCCGCAGCTCACACGTGTCCTTCAGCTGGGGTACGAGAGACGTGTACAAGTGCAGGCACCAGACCGACTGGTGGATCGCCCACACTGCATCAGAGGAGGCCACCTGAGCAGAAAGGCTGTCCTCCACCGGAAGGGTGTAGGGGTCCTGCTGTGCATCCTGAGTCCGCCTCCAGGAACCTGGGGAAACTGAGGCACCATTGCAACCTAAGCCGAGCGAGGTTCTCAGTCAGGAACTCCACTCCCTGTTGGGATACAAGGAAGAAAAGCAGGCGGGTCGTGAAAACCTCTGTGCACACAATTTCCTTCAGTGCCTCGTACTCACCCCATACATCTTTCACTTCAGACTATCCAGGGCCATGCTCGTAGCTGATTTATGCCACGGTTATCACGGCCGCCGGGGAGCACTTGGCATTGCGGGTTGCAGCTGTGAGGGGAGCCGGACTGGTCTTGCTCAGGCCCAGCCGCAGCGCTAGACTCCGCGCTGCAGAAGGGCTCTGCGCCCGTCCGCTGTGCTGTGTGGAGAGCAGCGCTCAGGGGCGCGCTCCAGAGGCCCAAAGCTCCGGCCGCTGGCTCGTGCTTCTTGACCCATTAAATTGTACAAGGGCATCGGTCACTGGAAGCTAAAATTAACCCTTCGCAGGACCTGCCGGGAGCTCTGACATCTCCAGGGGGGATTTTCCATGCCCTCGCGACAGACCAGCATCTACTACCGTGGCCACAGGAAAGAAGAGAATAAGAACTCAGTTTGTTGCTTCGCTTTCCCCAGCAATGGCCAGCCGGCGGCCGGGCCAGCTCGGGGCCTCTGGGGGGACCCTCTCCGGGGCCACAGCTCAGGAAGTGCCTGGAGTCCCTTGAGATGTGCCTGGTGTGATGCCGGCGCGGGGAGAGGAGAGACCCACAAGACAGACAAGAACATCTGCTGCTCCGGCGGGCGCTGGGCCCGGCCAGCCGGTTTACAGCCGAGCCCTGCGAATCACGTAGCGTCTGGCCTGGAGGAATTCGGGGCGAAACGGCCTCCGCCCAAGTGGGGACGAGCCGGGCCGAATCCCGGCGCTGCCCTACAGCTGCGCGAGGGAGCTGCGGCTCTTTAGAGGGCAGAACGGAAGAGACGCTGCTGGAACCGCGGGCGGCGAGAGGAGATCAGAGGGGAGCCACTCGGCTCGCGTTTCGTCCTGGCTTTCATCAGGGCGCAGCCTCCGCCCAGGGCGATGTAAGACACGTACGAGTGTGAGGGAGCCCACGCCAAGAGGGCGGGTTTCCACAGCCCAGCAGATGGCAGCTTTAACGGGCGTCAAGTGGCACCGCGTCTGGTCCGCCGCCCCCCCCCCTCCTGCCGGCCTTCGAGCCGCTACCGGGCACCGAACGCTATTTACAGCGAGCGTCCTGTTCCACCCTGTGGTGTCCAAGGGCAGCACCTGCAGGCCGCGGGTCAGGAGACCGCGCACAGAGGACCAGCCTAGGAACCGAGTGAGGAGGGCGCACAAACACCGGAGCTTCCCTGTGCGTCCTGGGTCCATCTGCAGCGACTCCAGGGCGGATTGACGTGGAGTTTCAGTGATGCAAAGATAAATCTACAATCGTCTTCCTTTCTGTGTACTTATTAGCTAAGTCGGATTTTCTTTATAGGATAAAATTTTTAGCTGAGCATGGTGATGCATGCTTGTCACTTAACACTACTCAGAAGCTGAGGCAGGAGGATCACAAGTTCAAGTCCAACGTGGGCAATTTAGACTACACTCAGAATAGCTGCAAAATAGAAAAAGGTCTAGGGTTGTAGCTCAGTGGTACAGCACCACGGGTTTCAAACACTAAAACCACAAAATTATTTTCCAGCATACTTAACATACTTAGGATATTTAATAACATTTGGAGGAAATTATTTATAGGAGCATTACTTCTAACAGCCAAAAGGTGGATCACCAAAATGTCCATCAACAGACAAATGGATAACGAAATCTGGCATATATATATATATATATATATATATATGCAAGGGAGTATTACTAAGCCATGAAAAAGAACAAAGTAATAATATATATGACATGAATGAACCCCCAAAATACCATGCTAAGCAAGAAGCCAGTCACAAAAGACTACACTATATGACTCTATTCATATGAAAATCCAGAATGAAGAAACCGTAGAGACAGCAGGTAGACTAGTGGATGGGCATGGTGGTGCATGCCTGTAATCCCAGCACTCAGCAGGCAGAGCAGGAGGATGGTCAAGAGCTCAAGGCCAGCCTGAAGTACACAGTAAGAAAAGGCCGGGGGCTCAGCTTAGCAGCACAAGTGCCTGCCTGCTAAGCACAGGGTCGGGAGTTCAATTCCCAGTACAAAAAGAAAAAAGAAAGAAAGGAGAAAGAAAGCAGACAAGCAGTTGGTTGCTTGGGGCTCGTGGTAGAAGGGGAACAAGGTTAGCAGCCATCAGGCCTGGTATTTTTGTGAGATGACAGAATGCTCTAAGTTGAGGACAGTGATCATTGTGCATGTACGTGATGCTTCAAAACCACTGAACTGCAGGCTCTAACTGATGAGGTGTGTGGTGAATGTTTATAAGTCCAAAAGGGGCCCATTTTAAAAATGAAAAATGGAGTTTGGGAGTGCGGTCCAGGATAGAGTATGCTTCACACGTGTGACGCCCCGGGTTCAATTCCTCACGTTCACCTCCAAAAATAAAAAAAAATTAAAAAGTTTTAACCAGGGACAATAAAAATAAAATCCAAAGATCACTCACAGCTTTACTAAAGATGCCCATGATCTATGTCATAAGGAAGAGTCTTCAAGTATTATTCTATACATAGTTTTGTTGTTTTACTTAATTATGATTAAGATCACAGAGTTTTCTAGGACTGGTATAAATTCCAAGTTGCATCTGAGAGAATTTAGTCACTAGGGACAGAAATCTCCTGAGCTATTTGAAGCAAAGGAGATTTAGCAGAGGGACCTCAATGTTTACAAACTTGTCAGAAGGACCAGAGAATACTATCCAGGTTGGCCCCGCAGGTGGCTATAGGAACTGGCCAGACAGGCAGGGCACTGCCACTGTGACCTATCAATCCAGCTACCCTCCTTTAGCTGTGATCCAAGAGCAGAAAACCACAGTAGGGCTCCCAGCTTTGGAACAATGCTACGGGGACTTCTGCTGATACTGCCACAGACACGCATGTGCACACACACACACACACGCACACACTTGCATGCAGAGCTATTCACGGATCCTCTCTATCAACAGGAAACATGAAACCAGCAGATACTTAGCTTCCACCTCAGTTCTCCACCAAGTGTGTTCAACTGGCCACATTCAATTCATATTAAGAATCTAGCTGCAAGGGAGTCCAGGAAATATGATTTTATACAGGAAAGTATTTACTATACCATGCTATTAGAAGCTTTTAAGGCCTTTTTAATAGATGCCTAACTTTTCATTGAATATAATCAATCTTTAATCACTCCCATTCACCCATTTATAATGGTTCATCTTCATAACTTAATGTTATAAATATTAAGACCCCAAATTTATTTATTTTTGAGGGGATACCAGGGATTGAACTCATGACCTTCTGCTTGCCAGGCAAGCACTTATGCCACTGAGCTAAATCCCTGGCCCGTAAGACCCCAAATTTAATACTATAAATGACACTGTGATGGTAATACACTAATAATAGCTATCACTTATTGAATATTTCCTTCTTACAGACAGTATGCTAGATCCTTTTATATTATTTATATATACATATAATTTTTATTTATTTACGTTTTAAATTAAGGCTCACAATCTCCTTACAAAATTGCTATTATCCCCATGATACAGATAACAAAGCTAAAGCTTTCAGAGAGGTCAAACCAGATCTGACACCAAATTTTACACCCTTAACCACTATGCAAATCTCATGCATGAGGCTTTTTTTGGTATGAGGCATGATCTCCATCGTGCACATAGCCAGAAACAGAATAGTTCCAAGGCTGTGAACCCCATCCACATAAGCAGGCCAGATTTTCAGTCAAGGTCACTGTCAGGGATGAGGACGTCCTCAAAGGCAAGAACTCACATTTATGCCTGGCAAGGGGCCTGGGCCACTGGGGCCACTTGACCGTGTCTCTGGGATGAGTAGCAGTGTGTGCGGGAGAACAAGAGGGCTCTTCAGCCCGAAGCACTGCATTCCTCTCTCTGCAGAAATGCAAGCTGCTTGCAAGCCCAGCTCTTGACTGTACATAAAACTGAGCAACGTGCCTGGAGCACGCAGTCTTGAATCTGCTTTTGCCACCTTCACACGCCAGGTGGGTCACCACATCAGCTGGTGACCCAGGTGACTGTGAAGAGGCCTCCAGGGCTCTGCCAAGTCTTAAATCATACATTTGCGGGGCCATGCATCGGCCAGAGGTTGCACATTCTGTCAGGTGGATAAATGGAAGCCTTTTTTTTTAGCAAGCACAATTGCTTCCATTTGGATAACTTAATTGCTTTACTAAATATTGATTCTCTCCATAAATATTAGCTACTCAAAGCAAGTTAGACTGTAAACTTAGTGCATGCACCACGGCAGGCTACTAAACAGCCTTTATGAGCCCTGCCCTACTTTTCTGCCAGCAAAGGGTTCATAACCACCAGCTGAAAGGCTTGGCTTTACCAGTGTCTTGCAAACTCTACATACTGCCTTTTCCTGCAGAGCATGGTTAGTAGCAGGATAGCTGGTCTTGGTGATTTCTCTAGAAGGCACAAAAACCCATCACTCAGGTGTCAGACCTGGCCTATGACAGCCAGGTCTGTGTTCCAGAGTCGGTTCTTTCCCTCATGGCTTCCATGGTCTTTATTCCCCTTTAAAAGTCCTAAGATGATAAAAGATCTTCCTTTATGTGTAATCTTACCCACCTCTTGGAATGTACTATTCTGGGATCTTTTAAAGAGTGACACCATAACTTGCATATCAATATAAAATATTTGGAGAAAATGCAAGTATCTCTTGGCTCTTAAATCTATGCATCTGTATCAGATCCTCCTGGCACAGCCAGAGGCAGGGTGGGAGGCAGTGTTACCCAATAGGACCATGGTTTTATTTATTCCATATGGCTCAAAAACATGCTTGAGTCTAACATGCCATATTTTTTCTGGCGATTCCTACAAATCATTTTTTAATTATGAAAGATGATTTCAGAGACACCCCTGAGAAATGGTAGCCGGGGTTCCCTTGACAACCATGAAATAAAGTATCAAAAGTAGAGTGGCTTCCATGACCCACACAGAAAACCAAGTTTAAAGCATGGATTCCTCAAAGATCCATCTTTGCTGAGACGGAATCTCAGGATTCACACATGCAAAGGATGGCTGAGAAACTCAGATCAACAAACATAACCAGAAAAATACATGCACTGTCAGATAACTGTTCAAAGGATTTTTGTATGATTGTGTATTTTCTCATTTCCCTTGGAAGCTTTGTTCTTTTCTTGTAGCTAGGAATTTTCTCTCTGTTTTAATTATTGCTTTTTTAGCCAGGCTTAGTGGTGAACACCTGTAAACCTAGCTCTCAGGAGTCCAAGGCCAGCTTGGGCTACACGGTGAGTTCAAAACTAGCCTGAACTGCTTAGCAGGACCTTATTCCAAAAAAAAATTATTGTTTTTATAAACCTCAGCTGAGGGTTTTCAGCTGTTAATCTCCTATGGCCACAGAGGACAGGTTCTTGCTTTATAGATCAATCCAGGACACTTGGAAAGCTAAGTGGCTGGCACAAACCTTGCTGGCACAAATCATAATCCCAGTGCTCTGGAAGACTGAGGCAGGAGGATCACGTCCAAACCCAGCCTGGGTAATTTCGAAATTTAGTGAGATCCTGTCTCAAAAAAAAAAAAAAAAAAAAAGTTTCTGTAACTCACTGTAGATGTCCTGGGTTCTATCACTGGTACTTCTCCTGAAAGGAAGAAATTAAGGTGTTTATGCAAGATTATGAAAGTCAATTTCCATTTATGGGCTTAGCTTTCAGCAAATTGAACTGCTGGATCTCAAATAACCAAGCAGGGTCCAAACAAGGCACTCTCAGGCTAGGGGTGTAACTCAGTGGTTGAGCCCTTGCCCATGGTGTAGGATGCCCTGGGTTCATGCCCAGCTTTACAAAGTTGGGTGGATGGGTGGGAAGAGATACACAGACACAGGGACATACTTAGCCCTGGAATCCCAGCCTTTTCTGCAGAGGTACCTTACCTGGCACCCATTTTCCTCCATTTGTCTCAGGTGACAGTTTCTCCAAAAACCAATGCAGCATCAGGCTAAACAGAAATACAAATTAAGTTGAGTAGCTGTCAACGGAGCAGCTGGTCAATCATCTTACATAGACTTCAGTAAACATTTCATAAATTATTTTTGAGTAAGTAGCCAAAGCATTGATCCCCAGCCCAGCTACCGAGGAATTATAGCCAGTTCGCACATGGCTTTCCCAGCACTCACAACTTTGTTTAAATTATTTAAAAGGTGACTCAGGCTCTTTCTATTGGTCCAGACACTGCGGAGAGTTGAAAACAAGCTGAAAAGTCATCTGCTATTTCTCCCTACGTGTTCACCGAGCAGTGCTGCCCATGGGTAGGCAACTTCCTCCCTGCTCGTATTTATTCAAAAGTTAGATTTCTCATTAAGCTTTCCCGGCCCGCTATGCCCAGCTCAGAGCCTACAAATGGGACTAACTCCCCGAAATTAAATGAAAGAATGAAACCAGGATCTCAGGGTGTAACTGCGGGGTAACCGGCTGGCAAGGTGGGAGCGCAAGAGCGCTCCGGGTTCACCTCCCTCCCCAACCTCTCCTCCTCAGAGAGGGTAGAGACCGGCAGCAGAGGGGCCCCTAAAGCCGCAAATCTGAGCGCGGCCACGGAAGGCGCCCCGGGGCTCAGCCCCGCCCGGCTCCGCAGAGCAGCGCGGAGAACTCTGAGTTCTACGCGGTCTTCGTCTACACCCGCAGAGTGGGAAATTGCACTGGTGCAATAACCAAGATTAATTTCTTTACGACTTTGAGAAAATTAAGAGGCTGTTGGCGTGAACGCCAAAAATATTTTTCTAAAACACGGTTTGGAATCACCTTGTAGTTTTTAACCACACGTTTCCTTGGCAGCTATTTGTGCCTTCAAGAAAAACGGTTTTTAAAAGCCTTTCGTTTTATGAGAATAAGCGCTTCACTCGGTGCCCGCGTTCACCCTGGCACCTCTGAGAAGGCCTCTTCTCCCTCTGGTAGGGACGCCCCTCCCGAGGCTCCCCAACAAGACGCGGCGTCTAAGTAGCCGGAGCAGGCGCTCCGGGACCGCCGGTCTCCGCTGCCCGCCGGCCGCACGCAGTCTCGGCTCCCTCCGGCCCGCGTGGAAAGAATCTGCAGAGTCGGGCGGCGCCGGGGAGGCGAGGTGCGCTCGCGGTGCTCTCGTGAGGCTGGAACTTTCGCGTCCGCGCGCGTGACTGAGCGCCCCGCCCGTGCTCGTGGGCACCCGCGGCCGGGCGCCCCCAGCGCCCCCAGGCGTGCGCCGCGGACGCCGCGCGGCTCTGCGCCCCCTTCGGCAGTCAGCCTGCCCGGCTGGGTGCATTTCTGACGCCGTCGGGGACTCCGAGCCTGTGGCGGGCCTCAAAGGCCGGGGAGTGACCCCCGCGTTCCTCCAAAATAATTCCTTTCGGAACCCCTACCGGGCACCCCGAGCGCCTCCCTCGGAAATCAGAAGACCTCTGGGGATGGGAAACCGATCCTCCCCCCAGCCAGCCAGCCAGGCCCCATCCTCCACGCCTCGGCCTCCAGCCAGAATGTGGCCGTCCGCTGCGAAGCCCGGGTGCAGCCTCAGGGCCCGGCCGTGCGGGGTGCGGCCTCCGGGGGCGCCCAAGTGGCCTAGCTGTCCCTGGGATCCCAAGCCTGGCTCATGGGCACCCCGCGGTGAGAAACTTTCGCTCCCCACCCTTCATCTCCCAGGAGGGAGGAATGCGTGTGTTCCCTGGAAGCACCACACCTCAGAGGAAGCCCACCTTCCGCGCTGGCCTTAAAAAGAAAAAGAAAAAGAAAAAGAAAAATCCGCACGAAGCGGGAAGGTGCACACACCCGGGTTTGGGGCAGCCTTGCCTGCCCAGGCCAGGCTGAAGATGCCAGCCCAGCCCGCATAGGCCTCTCTGTCACTTTCAACACTTAACCCTCGAATCAATGAGCGTGCTTCTTCCCACGGATTAATTTAGAAGAGAGGAACATTTTTGCTTTGCAAATAGATCCCCTAGATGAAACAGAAACGAATTTGTCGTTCTTTAGAATTGTGCCAGTTCAGGACCTCGGTCGGTCAGCTCGGTATGAAGGCCCGGTTGATTCTATCAGATGCTGGGGAAGGGGGGTAGTTAAGCTCATGGTGGTCGTGTGGTCTTTGAAGCCCAGAAATACTCATCTCAGGTGGATGGGTTTTGTTCCGGTTCTTACAGAGGATTTGGGGGGGGTCGTTTTCGGAAGAACTGCATCGAAGTCACTAACGAGCTAATCCCTTTGCACTCGCGGCAGTGATTGATGTAACCGCTGAGGAATTTCGGTGCCACCGGAGAGAGCCTTTTCAAGCCGGGGTCCCTGGAATCATGAGGATCCTTTCTAGACAGAAGCTGATGGACTGCATATCCCCGACCCGGGATTTTGAGGTGCACCAGGCCCAGAGTTCTTGGAGAGAAAGCAGCGACCTAGTGGGCCCCGAGCAGCCAGCACCCCAAGACTCCCGCCTTCCCTGGATTTCCCTGCACGCTCTTGTGGTCCCCAGAAATGGGGTGCACGCCTGGCAATTTAGGAGGGAGACAGGGAAGAAAATACAGAGGAAAGAACTCACCCCTTCTGTAAGCGTAAATTTGTTAAAAGCTGGTGGCCACCGTTTACCCAAATGGAGCTGAGCACAGCTTCTGTGGCTCCCTCCCCCCAAGCTTGCTAATAGCTGCAATTAATTACCAGTAACACAAACTCTCCTTGTTCCCCTAAACGCATTGTTTTGAGAGAAGTAGGGTGCGACTTCTGCAGTCACTGTGCGTGCATAGTGGACCCCCATCCCTGGACAACCAGCTCAAGGGGAAGGCCTGTGAGCACCCTGCCAGAATCCCAGAGAGCCGACTGAGTCAGGGTCTAGCGGCCCAGGAGGCCCCCAAGAGGCCCCCAGGAGGAAGGAGAATCCCCAGCTCCAGGAGACCACCTCCCTTTCTGGGTTACTGTGATGTAATCAGATCACCAGACATCCTCCCAATTTAAAACTGCAAACTTTCTCCAAAGAAGTAACTGCGAGGGGAAGAATTTACTGTGTTAAAAGCAAAACCAAACTGGGGTTGGGGTGGGGTAGGGGCATTAGAATTATTCTCTGGTCCTTTCTGGGCATAGCACTGACCCCAGGGAAAACAGAGGACAGCTCATTGGCTTACACACAAAAAGGAGTGAAAAATTGACACATCCTTCCCATCTCTCAGACAGAAAAGACTCTTGACCACCAAATAGTGGCATCCGTGAGCAGGGGTCTGAGAGGAGGTCTCTGAAGAGACCACATCGCGCTGGCTGCCTGTGTAGACAAGGCCTGGTGAATCAAATAGGGTCTCATCCCCGCCATCGGGGACATCCTGGCCTCTGCTTGCTCAGGTGGCTGATGTCCTAAATTGCACTGTGGAGGTTCCAGATCCTGGCCAGGAATGAGGGACTCTTCCCTCTCCCACCTCCTGGGCAACCAGGTCTGTGTTGTCCCCGGGCCATTGCAGCAGCCGCTGTGGCGCCTGTGGGAATGGGGACACCTCCAGTCCCCCTCAATTTCAGGCCTGGGGATCTTTCCGCTAGGGACCAGCTTCAGGTAGCTGCAGGGCACAGCCCAGGGAAGAACAGCTGCGGGAAATCCAAGCAGATGTGGGGCGTCTGCACCCTCCCCTTTCCTCCTGGGGCCAAAATTTCCTCCAGATCAGTTTCCTAATGGAAAATTTCTAAGATGTGGAGTACTGGGAGCGGTGTGATTGAGCGCCCCACAGATTGGGGCGTGATGGAATTATGGGCTCCCTGCAACATGCAGGGTCCCCCTTGCCACCTGGGCTCCTGGGTGCACAGGCTGTGGGCTGTGTCCAGGCCCTTGAGCCTGGGACTGGTGCTTAGCTTGAGGCTGGATGCAGACCGCAGGAGTGTCTCCTTGCCAACCTATGACCAGGGACTGCTAGCAGATGTCCCAACCTGCGGTCATTGTCCTTGTTTGTGATCACTCCAGTTAGCACTTATTCAGTGCTTTTCCAGGTTAAACAGCGCTTCTAACTTCTTGCTGTCCCACATAAGCCTGAGGTCCCCGTCCGCCTGGCTTCGGGGGCTCCGACTGGGATAGAAGAAGCTAGGGCGTCAATATCCTTCCCTCTGGGAAACCTGTGGCACTTGGGGCACTTTCAGTGGAAAGGCGGGGAGCTGGGCCTTAGCCTTGCGTGCGGGTGAGCGCCCGCTGGGGAAAGGGTTAATACACTACCTGCTGGGGTTTGCCCTGGAAGTGCCCAGCACCCAACACCCTACAGCACCGCACTTCACTACCTGCGCAGCAGCCCTGCTTCCACTCCAAGCACGCGCTGCCGGCTGCGCCGCGGACGCCGGAAAAGCAGCCGCCGCGGTAAAATCCGGATAGTCAGCTCAGGCGCGCTTTCCGGTGAACTCTGGGAAGTTTCGTTTGAGAAGAGTTTCCATTCATGTTACTAGGCAGCGCTCTGCCATTTCCACTTAGACATGTTTCTGCGCTCTGGGTAAGCCTTTCAAGCTGGGGAGGAATTCTCCGGAGTCCATAAGTGAGGCTCAGAACCCTTAGGGGTGGGCCTCTCCTAAATCCTCCCGAAGCCAGGGAGGTGCTGGGGCGCACTTGGGGCGCAAAGGGAAGTGGTGGCGGAGATCGCCCGCAGTCTTGGCTCCTCACTTAGAGTCCCGCTCTGCGCGGGCCAAAGCACCGTGCGGTGCAGGATTCTGGGCGCAGATGGCCCGGGGCGCAGGGTTTGGCTGCGTGCAGCCCCAAACCCCGCGCTCACTGCCGGAAAGTGGGGAGCCTGGATGCGCAACACCAGGGGAAAGTGCGGTTCCCTGCGAGTGGCTGGCCGGCGTCACCGGCTCCAAGCACAGTCCCGACGCTCCAACGCCCTGGAGCTTCGGACCCTTCGGACCTTGTTAAAGGTCAGGAGCGCCTGCTGTAGTCTGGACTGAAAGCTCGTACAGCAGGAGAAGGGAGCAAGTTACCGGCCTGGGTCAGACAGGCAGCAGGTGAGCAGCGGGCTCCTCCGGGCCCAGGGGACAAAGCGGCAGCACCGAGAAGAAAATACCTACTCGAGGCCTCCCAGGTCCCGCCGGTGCGGACCTCCGCCAGTGTCCCGCAGTTCCCTGCGCCTGTAACTCTACCACCGCCTTAGGCACTGGGCCAAAAGATCCCACAGGACCCTCACGCCGCAAAGGAACTGCCCTGGGCCCCCAGAGCTTGTCCCTCCTCGGAAAACCCGGGAAACTGCGCGGGCCCCACGTCCGAGGGCTCAGATTCCTGGGAGGGGTGGGGCTTCTGAGATCGCCACTGCGGGGTGTGTAGGGAACCCCGGGTCCAAACCTGTCCGGGCTGCAGGAGCAGGAAGGGGCCGGGCAAAAGCCTGGAAGCCGCTGACCCCCAGGGACACGCCTAAACACCTAGGGTCCGCGTCTCCAATGCGCGCGCCTTTCCCCTCCTGGTTTCTACCCCGCCACCATGAGCCCCCCAACTTCCCCCGGGACCCTTGCACAGCGATCGCCCCTTGGAGCTCCCACCCAACGCGAGACTCCCCGAAATTCTGGCTGCGTGGCTTCGAGCGCTCTCAGACGCCAGCGCCCCGGCAGGGGGCCCCGCTCCCGCCGAGAGGCCAGGAGCCTCGCCCGGCTCCCCCGCCCTTCCCTACCGCTCGCGCACCCCCCGAGGCCTTTCGTTCCGGCGTTTCAAGCAGGGAAGGGCAGAAAGGTCACTCCTGGGCCTTTCGAGCCATTTCCTTGTGTCGTGGCTGCGAGGTAGAGCTCCTCGGGCCACCACCCCTTTCAGCCCACGCTCTTCGAGGTGGAGCGGGTGTGTGACCAGCGCCGCTTGAAGGACTCGCTCTCCCCAGCAGGGCACTTGGCAGGCGGGTCGCGCCGCCTCCTCTGCCGGCAACTGCCAGTGACCTCCCCGAGAACCACAGAGGCGCCCTGGCGCCCCTCCCTGCTCTGCCCCACCCCGGAGCCCATCTGAACGCGAGGGTCCCCGAGTGTCTCTCGCTGTCTCTCTGGATCGGGTCCCCACGCGCGCCCGCCGTACTCACCCCGACTTCCCGGAGCCCGGAGCGCGCGGCTCTCTCGCGGGAAAGTTCCCGGGAGGCAGCACCGCAGAGGCGCGCCTGGGACTCCAGGGCCGCGGCTGGATCCGGGCTCCATCGGCCACCCCCTCCCCGCCGCGGTCCCTCCCCTCGCCCCCCCCCCAGCCCCCGAGCCCCGCGGCCCCGCGCTCCGCCCGAAGGCGGGTCCGCCATAAACAAACGCCGACCGGGCGCACGTGCGCCGCGCCGCAGATCGCGCGCTCCGGGCAGGCTCCGGGTCTCCGGGCGCAGCAAGCGGCCGAGGAGCGAGGACGAGAGAGCGCGGCCGGCCCGGCCGGGCCCCGGCCGCCTGCGCCGCGCTGCCCTCAGCTCCGATCCTTCTCCATGGCTCTGCGGCCGCCGCCGCCCTCCAGCCCGGAGGGGCCTCGCGGCAGCGGGTGCACGCGCACCGTGAAGGACTGAACAGCTCTGCTGCTCCTCCTCGCCGGCTCCCCGCGCTCCAAGGCGAGACCAGGCAAGGGAGACGGAGGCGGCACGCCGGAGAGAGACGCAAGCAGGGCTCCGATCGCCGCGCGCAGGACCGGCGGGGTACCGTGCAGCCCGGGCGCAGGCGGAGCTCGGGGCTGACGGCGGCGGGGAGGCGTCTCGGCGCTCGGGCCGGTCCCGCGCACCTGCCCGCGGGCGCCCAGGACTCCCGACTCACCTGTCCCCGACGCCCACTTCTGCCGCATCCGGACTGCGCGAGCTTGGAGCGCGACCCGAGCTAATATGCCCAGAGCCGAGGCGCGATGAAGGAGAAATCCAAGAATGCGGCCAAAACCAGGAGGGAGAAGGAAAATGGCGAGTTTTATGAGCTGGCCAAGCTGCTCCCGCTGCCGTCGGCCATCACCTCGCAGCTGGACAAAGCGTCCATCATCCGTCTCACCACGAGCTACCTGAAGATGCGCGCTGTCTTCCCTGAAGGTGAGGCCTCAGGCGGGCAGCCCGATGGCAGAGGCCCTGGATTCCAGGCCCAGCGGGAAACTGGGGCCGCCGGCGCCCGCTCACTCCGCTTCAAGGCGAGGGCGTCTTGCGGAGGCCGCGCTTAGGGCATCAGAGCCGTGGCCGCCCGGAGACCAAACCACCTCTTAGCCCTGAGCCAGAGAGGGGCACCAAGAATTGTTCCAAGCACAGGTGTCCCCAAAGCGGGCACTACTGCGTCCGTCCACGAAAGTTTTATTCCTTCTTCCTTTCTTCTTTCCCTCTGCTTTCCATCGTTCCTTCTTGTCTTCCTTTGCATGCCAGTCCATCCTGGCATGGTTTTATTTTTTCTTTCCTTCCTTCCTTCCGTCTGTTTTTCTATCTTCTTTCTTTCCTTGCTTGCTTTTCCTTTTGTTCTTTGCCAGGCCTTCCTGGTCTGAGTTGGCCTTTTTTCTTTCCTCCCTTTTTTGCTTCTCCTATCCTTTCCCTTCTCTTCTTCCTTCGGGCTCATTCTGTTTTCCTGGAGGAGGTGAGAGACCCTTATTCTCCACCCCAGGAGTCTCTTCACAGCCGCCAATCTTGGGCAAGGCCGGTGGAAGCCACCCGCTGGGCACTTTCAGGGAGCCAGGTGGCCACCCTCAGTCTCTCAGTCCGCCTCTTTGCTGACTTTCTTCCTTTGGGCTGGGAAGTTGAGGGTGGGACAAAATGGTCATGGATTTTTAAGTTAGGGTACTGCCGGCTCGCCGGAGAGCAAAGTGATTCTTTTGAACACAGCAGACTCAAGCATGGCAGATCTTTTTAGGACTGAAAAAAGTGCCACTTGTATGACCAAGGACGGGCAGACTGAAGATTGCAGGGAATGGTGTCATGCTTGATGGCTGTCCCTGTGTGCACAAGCCAGCTTTAGCTAGTGACTGTCCCCACCAGGCCACAGACCTCCCGGCAGCAGCTCTGGAGTCTCTGAGGTTTGGTGGGAAAGACAGGATATGGTACTGGGAAGCCTGTTGCTGGCGGGGAGGGAACTTTCTGGGCGCCCCAGAACCTACAAGCCTTGGAGCTGGGAAGGCTTTATAGGGAGACAACTGGGCTGCAGAGTGCTGGAGGGTCAAAAAGTGTCGCTGGGCCTCAGGACACCTTCATTAAAAGCCGTCCCTAACCAGGCAGCAGACCTAAAGTCAGTGGGCTCCTTTTGCCCCCTCACTGCCTGCATTTGTGGCATCAGAGTCTGGGCCGTGCTTATACCCTCTTCAGTGGAGTGGTGGCTGGGCCTCTCCAGAGCTTCCCTGCTGGGGTACACGACCACCCGGGCATTCTCCGGGGCGCAGGCCTGTGGAGCTTGCGAGATCAACCCAGAAGCCGCTTTTTTCCCGGGTTCCTAATCGAATTGGCATAAAAGCCTCCGCCTTTTCCCTGCGGGTGGGAGTTGTAGCCACTATGGTTGCTACTTGTCCGCCTAGAGGTTAAGTTCTTGGCTAGAGAAGTAGGAATCCTTCCTCGCCGCCGAAGTTTCAGTGGAATCGAAAAGCAAATTGAGTTTGTAAGAGCGGAGTTGCCTTCCCACCTTGGAGCAGTGGTAGCCGGCTGTCAGATGAGCCCTGCTATCCACGCGCTGAGAACCAGGCATGGAGTCGGACAAGGCCTATCCTGCTCGCTGCCTTTCTCCCCCCAACTTCCGCATTTAGGAGGGCAGCTGTGGTAAAAGAAATGGTCAGAAGAGTAAGTGCTGTGGTGGCAGTGATTTCAGGTAAACCAGAAGAGGAGGCCTGGGCTCCTTGTGAGCTGTTCGTTGTTTGGGGGATTTCCAGGAAAGGGGCCGGTGTGCTGCCCTGGCCGGCCTTCACACTGGATCCCGTCTGGGACACTCATTTTTTTGGGTGTTGGTGTCCAGAATGGCTGGGCCCTGAGTTCCTGGAGGGGTGGTCCTGCTGCAGGTTGGTGCCATCATTATTGTGTCCGAGAGCTTCATAGTTCAGGGGACACCTGTACCCCTGATGGTGACCATGGAGGTTGGCACTCAGGAAAGGGTTTGGCTTTGCAGTGTTGTAAATGGCCCTGGACATGTGAGGAGCCAACCAGCCTCTGGGGCACATTCCCCAGCACCCCTCAGGTCAGCCAGGGCTAAAGGGGAGAGGGAGATGCTTTTAGTGGGACTTCGGTTACACAAAATAACTTGCTAGCTTCCTGTAACACCAAGGACGGGACAGAAGTGGTCTCTTAATTGATTTGACCTTTTCCCTGGGAACCCAGGTCTGCTTGGGGCCTACTGACTTGTTGGGGTCAGAGCAATGGCTCTACAGAGGTTTTAGGGACACGCTGGGCCCAAGGGGAGCTCCAGGTTTGCCTGCAGCTCTCAGCTGCAAATCGAAAGTAGGAAACACAGAGAGAACACCATGTACCAAGAGAGATTTTGCCCGGAGCAAGTGGGATCCTTGGGCTGAGAAGAATCTGGAGACCAGCTTAGAGTGCAGAAGGTGGAAAGGAACAGCATTGTCCTAAGGAACCAAGGGAATTGTCAGACACATTCTTCCTACCTGGGGAAGCTGGTGGCCAGTGAGGGGACAAGCCTCCCCAAGGATCCACAGCAGAGGCAGCGGTGTGCAGCCTGACCACAGAGGTCCTGCACCAGGACAGAGGGAACCAAGGACATTGCCCACCCACAAACCAGTCCTCATGCTTGGACAAAGCTTTCAAATTTACAGTGGGTTGAGGGCTGCATTGTCACCTTGCACTATTGGCCTCGGTCTCTTTGTACAATGGACCTGTTACCAAACGTTGGCCTGGGATTGTCATGACCCAGCGTGAAAATGCAGGGAGCAACTGTACAAAGTAGGTGCAAATCCACCCCAGCCACCCGGTCCCACACTTCGGAGGGTGGAAGGAATGACCGCCCAGGTGTGCAGACCTGCTGTCTTCTGGGTGGCCGCCTTTGCCCTCTGTCAGCCTGGGAGTCCAGAAGCTGGAGGTAGAGAGGGCTGCAGAGCCAGTTTTGGAAGTGGCTGGGTGTTGGAAACTGGGTGACTTTTAGCAGAGGTTGGGGCGGCAATGCCGGGGGCTACTGGGCTGTCTGCGCTCCTTGTAGGCCAGGGCTGAGGGGCTCCTGGCCTGAACCCCACGCCCGATGCCGGGTCCTCTGGGCCAATGCAGAGTTAGCAGCTGCTGGGGCCAGCGTCCTGGGCCGGAGAGTTTGGCCCTCCCGAGGAATCCCTTAGCTAAGTGTGGAGCAAGGGGTGACTTTTCCTCCTGGATCTAGATGTCCAATGCGGAGGGTGAGGAGAGGGACGGTCCAAAGGTCCCGGCTCAGGGGAGGAGTAGAAAAACGGAGTCTGAGTTTCCTCTCCTCCGTTTCCCAGACCTGAAGGACCAGGGACAGGCGAGTTCGTGTGCGTGTGTATGTGTGTGTTTGTGCATGTGTGTGTGCGTGTGTGTGTGTGTGTAAGAGGACTATAATGATAGTGTCATGTTATCAGACATTGTGGTCAGAAGAAAAGGAAATGTCACTTGCTCACGCGCACGCGGGCGTGCACACACACACACACACAGAAGTGGGGTTCAAGTCCAGATTATCCCAGGGGCTGGATTCCATTGCATTTAAATTCAGTTCAGGGCTGGAGGTTTAGCTCAGCGGCATAAGCGCCTGCCTTGAAAGCAGGCAGTCATGAGTTCGATCCCCTACACCCTTAAAAAGGAAAAAGACAAAAGAAAAAAAATTCAGTTTGAGGCCACTTTGCCCCACAGCTGAGCTCCCCGGGGAAGAGCTGGGCAGACCTTGGATTGTTCCAGGGATCCAAATGGACTGATTTGCAGGGTCCGTAGAGTGGGAACCCCGCAATATTGACATGGGGTCTTAGACCCAAGGCCTTTCTCTACCGCAGCCTGAAATCATGCACCTTTTTAATTTAAAAATTGGCTTATTTTTTTAGAGTAACATAGAATTTAATGACCACCTCCCCGTCTGTGTGCTGGGAGTCACCAGGCTGCCTCCCCGGCAGGAACCAGAGCCCAGCGAGCGCTCGCCCGCTCCGGGCAGTGGTGTTGCAGTGCAGAGCAGGCAGTGACCTCAGTGTGGATCTAGTGCCTGAGCTGAGAACTTGGGGGTCAGAATGACCCTGATCCTGCTGAACTCCGAAGCATGGAAAGGGAGCCTCCTTTGTGCCTGCCACACCCCTACGATCAATCCGATCAATCCGCACAGGCGTGACCCTTTCCTGAGGCGGATTCTGGGTTGGGGTCTCCCCTCTCTCTGCCCTCTGCTGCCAGCCCGACCCTCTTGGGTTGGGGCGGCCTCCCTGCCACCCCTTTCCCATCTGTGTGTGGCCTTGGATTTGAGAAGAGGCTTGAGGGATGAGGGGAGGATTTTTTAGGGACCCAAGAGAGAACAAGTGTCAGGGACCCGGCAGCCCCACAGTCTCTCTGCTCCCCTCGAGCTCATTTTGGAGTGGTTTGAAATCCATTCTGAGGTGTGACCTGGCACCCTGGGCCCCGCTCGCTCGACTGACCGACCGGCTGCAGGATACCTGCAGGGACATTTCCTCAGGCACTGCCTGTCCTGAGGGGAGCCTGGGGTCCTGCAAGGGGAGGGGAGCCAGAGGGGCGCTGGATGGAGCGGTTTCCTGACCCTGCCGCAATCCTGGATCTGAGGTCCGGTCACTGCGTGCTCCTGGGCTGGCCAGGCTGACCTCTTAACAGATGGATGGGGGCGGGCTCCCCAAATCTGTCTTGAACTTTTCACTGTAGTCTAGCTTTGTGCGGAGGGGTGGAAGTAGGACAGGCACCTCCCGATTATTAACCCGGTTTTTTAAGTCCCTGATGGTACCCAGAGAAGGAGAGTGAGAGTGGCTGTCTCTCGTGTTCTACCCAATCCAGGCTCTAACTCTAGGACAGAACAAGGTCACTGCTGGTCCAGAGGAAGGGTGGAAACTGTCTCCCTTCCTCTTTCCCAAACTGCCCTGCTCTGTGGTCCCATGTTTACCACTTGTGACCTGCATCTGTACCTGCTGGGGTCCCACTTAGCTGCCATGAGCTGTTTGTTGATTGACTAAGAAGCCCAGAGAGGAAAGACTGGATTTAGCCAAATTCTGCAGAGGGGGTGTCTGATGCCAAGTGAAGCAACTATAAACTCTGGGGACGAGCTGGAAATAGGGTCCCTCAAGGCTGACTGGCAGAGGTGGGCATGGAGGCTAGGTGTGGGTTCCTTAGGTGCTGTCTGCTGTCTCCCATAGTCAGGGGTCCCCAGCTGCCCAAGGAGGAAGATAGGGTTGGGGAGCTCAGTCTTGGGTGGCTTCCACAGCAATGGGGCCCCAGGATAGACCACCACCAGCTGGAACCCCAGAGAGCTTAGCTGGCTCTGGCTGCACCCGCCTACTTTTCGAATCAATAAATCCCTTTGTTAGAGCCAAATAAGGGCCACATGCGCAGAGCCCTTTTCTAGAGTGCCTGCAGCTTGATGGCACCAAGATGATTTTTTTGTTGTTGTTGCTAAAACATTATTCGGTGTGCATTCAACCCAAAGTAGGTTTTTATGGGCTGAGTATAAAGACTTCACCCACAGTGGTTCCTAATGGAAGACCTGGCAGCTCCATGGCCTTGGGATGAGGTGGCCCAGGATGAGGAGGCTTAGTGGAACTGTCCTGGGCCACCCACCACTTCCTGCCAGATCCAGAAAGGGCATCCATGCCAAATCTCCACTGGCAAAGCAGAGGCCTTTGAAAGTTCTAGAAAAAGGCACTGTGATAAAAGTGAGCAAGTGGCCTTGAGCCATCTGGGTGTTTGAACTGTAGAGAAAATTATCCTATGTGCCTGGGGGCCCTGTAGTGTGTAGAGCCAGGGCCTTCGATGAGGGAAGTTGAGTCTGAGGACCGTTCTCAGAAACAGAGCTGTCCCCAGATCTTAGTGCTGGGGATCCTGGGAGAAAAAAGCCAGAGGTCTGGAGGTCACCTTTGAACTGTAAAGGGCAAACTGAGAAGGACCCAGAGCCTCCACCCCAGAGGGACAGCTACCAGGCCGTATGTGTTTATTTCCCCACAGCAGATTTCCTGGATCATTATTAAATTCTGTCTTCACAGAAGCCTGGGCACCAGTTCCATTTTAGCTCTTCTCTGTTTCGGTTTAAAAGGGGGTAAGGGTCACCCAGTGGGCTTCCTGTGTGGGGTCCGGAGCAAATTAGGATCAAGGTGGTGGAGCTTGGGGTGTGAGTGATGTCCGGGTTAGGAAGCCACCGCCATACAGGACAGCGGCTGAGGCCCAGGAAGGGAATCAAGGTATGTGAAAATCAGCCACTTCCTTATGGATTAGGGATCAGGATTAGCTCCCAATTCCTAGAATCCCAGAGGAGATATTAAAGATCATCCTTTTTTACAACATTGCTAGATAGTTTCCAGAAAAAGTCTGTCCTGGAGCGGGAGGTGCGTTTTCTGCTGGGTGGAGGCATCCAGAAGCCATGAAGCCCTGGGCGTCCACAGGGACCTAGAGGAGATGCAGGGTGCCTGCGGGGTGACCTCAGAAACCCACTCTGTGGCCACCCCAGGATGTGCTGGCCTCGAAACAGCTGGTCAGATTTCCCAGCCTGTAGATCTCACCTTGCCTGGTAGCTCCTGACCTGTGGTCGGGTCCTTGGGGTGCAAAGCAGAGCATCAGTTCCCAGGGAGACACACCCTCTGAGCCACATCCACCAACCTAGACGGGTGCTCTGAGTGGTGTGCGCTCTGTGCACACAAGGCTGGGAGGGCAGACCTAGAAGGTGGTTGGGTCTATGGGTCGAGGGTCTTTGCCACTTTGTGCTAATTGGAGCGTCCTGGGCCAGGCTCCTGGTGGAAGGAGCAGGGAGAGGGCAGAGGTTCTCCCCTGGGAGCAGAGTGGGTCTCTGATGCAGGGAGGGTGACAAGAGGGGCTAAGGGCCCTGATTTGGTGAAGACACCTCCCAGTTACAGTCCGGTGTGACTGCCATCACCTGGGGCCCTTCGAAGCCTATAGCTCTGGGGTGGAAGGGCACAGTGACCACAGCCTGTGAATGCCCAGAAGCTGCACGGTGCGAGTTCTTTCCGTTATGCAGCAAAGGCTGCTCTGGGATGCAGGGGGCTCCTGGTCTTCTCTGGGAAAAGGCAGAGCTGCCAGAGGCAATGTGGGGCAGGGAGGGAGGTCCTTGGGGGAATATTTATGGGTCAAATCGATATCCTTGTTTGGCAAGGAGGATGGCCAATTTCAAAGCAGATTAGATTACTTTGTGGCATTTCAAATAAAATGGCAATTTCAAAGCAGTGGGCACGTGAGTGGCCCGTGGGAGTGGTCGGCTCAGAAGGCACAGTGCGCAGGGGCGCCTGTCTGTCTGCCTATGTCTATCTGTCTACCTATCTATCTGAGACAGGGTTTCACTATAACCCAGGCTGACCTTGAACTCTGTATAGCCAGGCTGGCCTCATGGTGATCCTCAGCCTGCTGGCATGTGCTGCCATGCCTGGTCTTTTTCTATTTTAAAGGAGAGAAGAGGCAACTGTGAGGATGCTGCGCTGAGCCTGCTGGGCAAGGGGCTGGTGCGGATACTTCGGAGTGGGGGGGGGGTGGCGCAGGTGTGGGCCCCTGAGGCCTAATCCTCACTGGTCGCTGCCATGTAGTGGTTTGTTTTATTCCCCTGTTCAGGTTTAGGAGACGCATGGGGACAGCCAAGCCGCACCGGGCCTCTGGACAGCGTTGCCAAGGAGCTGGGATCGCACTTGCTGCAGGTAGAGCCACCTTACGGGGAGACCCCTGGGGACCCGTCGGCCCCAGGCACCCTGAAAACCCAGAATCCACCACTGTCCCTGGCCGCAGAGGTCCCAGAAGCTGGCGTGGCTGCCCCTCGGCAGGGCCAGCACCACTGGTCTCCAGCCCAGCAGAGACTCAGGCTGAGCAGCGCCCTGGGCGCCTGCAGGCTGTTGGTTCCCACCTGACTCTGCTCTGCCCAGACCTGTGACCTGTACTCTAAAGCATTTTTGGTCAGATGCACTTGCAGGGACTGCAGGAGTGGAGAAGCGGTGTCAGTAGACCGCTTCCAGGTGGCCCTCGAGGTGATTACAAGCCAGGTCCTTTTCCAACCACGCCATTCGACGGCCGCCTCGGTGGGTGTTATGATGATATTGCTATCGTATTATTTTGGTCCTGGGAACTGAATGCACACTTTTCACACTGAGCTACATTCCCAGCTCTATTTTATTTTTCTATTTTGAGGTGAGGTCTTGCTATTCATTGCTAAATTGCTCGGGTCAGGCTCGGATTTTTAATACTCTTCCCACAGCCTCCCAGAGTGCTGGGATTGTAGGCATGCGCCACCCGCTTCGGGGTTCATTTTATCAAGGGGAGGAAGGTGAGGCACAGGGAAGCTCTGCAACATGCGTGGGGTCACACAGCAGACTGTCACCCAAGTGACCGAACAGGAGCACAGTGCCCATAACCGGGACGTAGTACGGCCTCCGTGGTGACCTGAGTTGGAGTCTGCTTAGTGTGGGGTTGGGCACTTTGCGAGCCCCACTACCTCCAAGGACACTCAGGCGGAGAGTGGGATGGCAGGGGTCACGGTGGTTTTCCACTTTTGGGGCATGGATTGCGCCCCTAAGATTACGGCTCTCGGCAGCTGTGTGACCCCGGCAACAGCCCCTTCCAGGGCAGCTGCTGGCGCTGGCGGAGGACAGCCCTGCGCAGGTCCTGGGCTCTTTCAAATGCCCATTACAGAGCCTCCTCAACGACCTATTCATTCCCCTTCTGTCATTTGTCTCTGCCATCAAAAAATGCCTGCCGAGAGCTACTTTGCATTTCCTCCCTGTCTTTCGTGTTTTCTTTAAAAGGGAGCAAAACGCTGGCTTTGGTGACTTAGATCTGCAAACCAGCCATGAGCTCTCTATTTGGAAAACCTAGATCTTTTCCAAATGTGGGCCCCAAATGCCTAGGTGTGATTTATTTTTTGAAATGCGTGCGCTGGGGCAGAGAAAAGATCCTGGGGGAAAATTCGGGAGCTGGAGGTTTTGCAGTTTAAAGCAAGCCCGGTGGCCAGGGTGGGTGGGGCAGGGCAGGGGGCTGGAGGCTTCCCGGCCTTATACCCCAGCATTACTGATACTGGGGCGGGCAGCGAAGTGCCTACAACGCCGGAAAACCCGGCCAGAAAACCCGGCGGGCAGAGTCTACAGCCCCGAGCAGCCCCTTCCTTGCACGCCGAATTCCTGAGTGTGTGCTGGTTGTGTCTGTGGTGATCTTTGCACTAATCATCCCTGCAAGTGAGTTAGGTAATTTGAAGTTTTCAAGCCATATTCCACACTTTCCGAGAAGAATATTATTTATTTTAGCTACTGCTGGCGCTTTTGAGAACCTAATGCTGATAACTTTCCCCCTTTTTCTGGCTTCCCTAGTTACTCTGAGGGATTTACTTCGCTCAGGGTAATCTTTTTTAATGATTTTGGAGTTCAGCAACATGCAGTTGGAATAAGCCAAAGCATGTAAGACTTCAGAAATAGCTTTTTAGTTCACGTTTCTGAAATGTCACAGGGTTACTTGGGAAAATATTTTGTAGCTGAGTTAGAAACCCCAAAAGTGAGGCTTGGAATCAGAATGTGCCCTTCAGCCTTAACACAGAGGAAGCTAACCGCAGTTTACTGGCAGAGAATTGTAGGAGGCTGCTGCATTTTAGCAAACTGCATTTCTGCAGCGAGTTGTATTTGGAGCGGGGAAATACAAGGCGATCTTTCAAGTTTCACTTCTGGTACCTTATTTCTTTTCTAACCCGCTCCCCAAAAAAGGAAGGGGGCCTAGAAAACCCAAAGGTAACCTGGTTTCAATTACATGCTGTAAAAATAGAATTTGTGGCCAGAAATTAATTTGAAATACGTTTTATGGGGGTTGTTGTGATGGTTGCATGGGTCTTTCAGCAGCTTTACTGCTGTTCTTTGGTTCTGGATCTAAAATATGGATGAATAAATAAAATAGTTTCCTTTTTCAAAAATTATTTCGTCTTCTTATCCTTAACACATAAATATAATCATTACCTTTTTTATGTTTCTGAAGTACTACTTATGATTTTACTTTATTTTTGGAAGTCTAGCCAACTCAGGCAAAAATTACAATTTCATTTGGCTAGATTTAATTTTTCGGAAGTTGAGACTTTCTCCTTGACTTTGGCAAAGGTTATTTGATCTCTTACAGAGCCTTAATCGTTAATTCTGTAGACATCGTCTGGTAAAACGTTGGATATTTTGTTTTATTTTCTGGGTATTGGTAGTGGTTGGAATTATTATTTAAATGATACTTGGGGGTAAACTAGAAAATTGTGGCAAATAAAGTGTATGTCCTCGTGGTATGAACGAGTCCAATTATGACATTAAATGGCGTGTAGAGTGGTAGATATTCCCCTAAGAACCACAGAGCTCCGGATTTGCGCTAAGTGCTAAAATAACCCCAGACAATAAAGCTACTAAATTAAAACAGAGCAGGATAGGAATTCTCAAATGTTTTTGCATGATTTTTGCGATGTGGATGTAAGATTGTTTCTTAAAGTGCTTTTTAAAAGCATTTGAGAGCCTCGCTTTGGGTATAAACTTGAATGTTATTACCTGCAGTCCTTAGGGCCCCATACCCTTATTTATTCCTGGGTAATTGCCTTCCTTGCGCTTGCTGGGAATTGAACGCAGGTCCTCAGGCACACTAGCCAAGTGCCCTAGCCCTGAGCTACACCCCAGCCCACAGGCTTTATACATGCAATTGCTAGATTCGCCTCTACTGCAGAACTGTGCCTCCCTTCTTACCCTGACACTTTCTCTTTTACAGACTTTGGATGGATTTGTTTTTGTGGTAGCGTCTGATGGCAAAATCATGTACATATCCGAGACAGCTTCTGTGCATTTAGGCCTGTCCCAGGTAGGTGTTTACCTAATTTTATGTACACGCAAATCGTTTGGTGCTGAAGTGTTAATGGATCTTCCGGCCCTGTCGCACCTGAACTTGCTTCTGCTTGAGCATCTGCTGTGCGTATGGAACACAGTCCGTAATTGCAAAGCCCCACCGGGATTTTCTTCTTATTGCTGCACCCTTTGGAATGGAGGACCTTCACCCAGGCAGCTGCACTGAGACTCTGCCCAATACCTGCGGGCTGTCACTCACCGGGTGATGTCAGGGGGCTCAGAAAGAGGTTCCCCGAGGGGACCGTGCCGCCCTGCGTGTCGGGGTGCCCACGGCAGGTTCTTGCGTGACCTCGAGGCGAGGTACACGGCTGTGCAGCTCTCACTGGAAGCCGCGTGTGCATTGGGGAGACAAGAAGAGAAGGGAGGCGTAGAGTTATGGGTGTTCACATGGATTTCGGAGTCATTTTTTCTGAGTTTTTCCAGTTCAGGGGCCGTCTCAGTAAAGCATTTTATATGCTCATGATAGAAACTCGTAAAACTTAGCTTCCTACTGTTCTGCACGGCGAGGTCCTGCTCTGTGGAACATTCCAGCCTTACCAGCTGTGCCGGGAGAGGGGACCTGTGTTCTGAAAGGGTGCATCCCTTAGAGGAGAGGGCAGTGCCCGGCTTGCTTGGTGGCAGATTGGCTGCTGCCTCAGCCTGTGTGTGTCGGGACAGGGACAGACAGACCAGCGTGGCACTTGGTGCTACACGTCCCACCTTTATACACGCAGGGACTGAGTGCTTCTGTGCATGGTGAGCCATCCAGTGTGACTTTCCATCTGCGTGAAGGCACTGGAATTAAGGAAAGACAGAAAACGTAGGCCATCGTGCTGCCCAGCCTCCAGTTAGAAAAAGCCAGAATAGGGCCAGGGATTTAGCTCAGCGGCATAAGCGCCTGCCTGGCAAGCGTGAGAGCGTGAGGACGTAAGTTCAATCCCCTGTACTGCAAAAAAAAAAAAAATAAATAAATAAATAATAATAATAATAGGGAAAGCCAGAATGAAATGTGCCAGTCAGCGTGGCTTGATGGCTTGAGTTTTCTCATTAATGCTCCTGTTTTTTCCCAGCCAGTACACGTTTGAAAGCCTTGTTGTCGGCTTGCATGCTTTTCCCCTGACATCCCCCGGGCCTGTGCCTCTGTCTTTTTTACACAAAGCCCTTTGACGTGAATTGCATATTAAAATCGTTTGGAGTTTTCTCTTCTTTCCTGCCAGGAGACTTCTCTCCCAAACTCGGTTTACTGAGGCTCGACCCTTGCCCTGTACGGCCTCCTGTACTCGGAGAGTGGGAGATACTTTGAGAACGTGAAGTTTTCCATCTCTGCGGGCCGGGGTCTACCTCAGTGGTAGAGGGTGCTCCATGTGTCCGTGAGGCCCTGGGTTCAATCTGCAGCTCCCCCACAATTACCATTTCTGTGTTTCTCATGGCTATTATTCCCCAAATGTGCACTTTGCCCTATTTAGAGTTAATCAGGGCCCCTTAGTTTTATCCAGATTGATCTCTCTTACTGACAGTCTGTGACTCAGTGACCTTGACTGAATATTTACTTTCTTCAGTTGAAATTTATAACGCCATGGGTAGTCTTACAATAACATCAGTGAGTATGACAAAACATGTCATGTACTTTTAAGATGACTGCTGAAAAAAACTTCCCTGTTGTTGAAAGTTAAATTTAGATCTGAGCTCCCTAGCCATCAAAGCAAAAAGGGAAATGTATCCAGTGGTATGGTTTTCTCTAACAGGGCAGGAATTTAATGTCCTGGAACCATAAATAATAGAACAAGGCCTGCTCTATTCCTTTTTCAGGATGGTAGTGAGAAACAGATCAAAGTGACCATTTTATGTGATATATAAACTATAGAGAACTATACAAAAGCCGTGTATCCCCACCATCTCATTAGAACAAAGTTGCACGTAGAATCATTTGTAACAGAGTTACAGTAGGGGCTGTCCGGTCATTTGGGCTCCTCTCTCTCTTTCTTTCTCTCGCCTGCACACGTTACTAGTTCCCTTGCAGTCTTGTCCGTACAGCCTGGAGACTCAATCTGCCATCCTGCTTTTCCGTCATTTCCCCTTTTTATGCGTGAATTATGAATATGCTAACTAAGAGTGATCTGGAGAGGTGGGAGACAGCCCTTTTGTTCCTCCGTCAAGGAAAAGGTTTTTAATCAGGTTCTCACATTTGTTATAGATGCCTGATGGCTGCACTTGGATAAAAAGTATGTTCCCTTGTGATCATAGGCAGAAATAATACTGTATCATTGCGTTGGCAAGAGGGAGAGACCATGCACCACCATTTCCCCAAAAGTTTTAGAAATATCATGTATCTGTTTTCCGTAGAGGAGACAGTTTGAGAAAAAAGATAAGCTAAACTGGTTGTGTGTAGCAATTGATATTTTCCCATTCTTCTACACGGCCGGGTGGAACCCGAGCTACATGCATTCCATGGGGAGCTGGTCAGAGAGGCAGCAGCCACCTTCCTTCTCTTCCCTGGGCTGTTTGTCCATGATAAACTCCATGGCAGAATCTCCTTGCATATTTTTCCCATCTTTTTTTACTTAAATGGTAAAATACAGCATTGAATAGGGTGCCACACAGCCAACCGCTCTTTTACAGATGTTTTGCATCTTTTAGATCATTGTTTTATCGGGAAAAGTCAGGCGTATATAAAAAACATGAAAATGTTATTAAAGTAGTGTAGAGGTTAGGGATGTAGCTCAGGGGTAGAGCGCTTGCCTGCCATGGGCAAGGCCCTGGCTTCCATCTCCAGCTCTGGAAAAAAGTGGGCTTAAAGATTTCTTTAAGAAAAAGTCACCGGAGATAAAAATATAGAGGGCCGGGGATGTGGGTCCATGGTACAGAGTGTGTTAAACTTTGGCTGCTGGATTGAATACTAATGCACACACATGCACATGCACTTACACACACTAACGTGTGAGTAAACTTTTACCCAGTCAGCAGAAAAACCCTCTCCCTAGATTTTCTGGTGACCAACAATGATCCAGGAGTGGTCCGCCTTGTTCTGATTTTGGCCTGAACAATCCAGATAATTATCTGATTTATCTATTTGAAGAGTTAATCGTTTTTATAAACCCATTTCCATTTCACTCGAAATCTCTTATTAAACTGCTTTTCACAAGTGTCGGACTAAGAGATCTGCTCCCTAGGACAGAGTTTATTAGTTTGTTTATTTATTTATTTTTATGTATTTACTTATTGTGTGCTGGGGATTGAACTCACAACTTTGCGCTTACCAGGCAGGCGCTTGAGCCACTGAGCTAAACTCCCTGGCCTTCTAGTTTGTTTTTAAGTTGGTACACACGCGATCAGTACTGTAAATTTTGGTGACAGGGATAACCACGACATGCAGGTTGCCCCTTCCGCCGAGGGGCCGAGATCTACACGTGTGTACACAGGAATGAGACGCAGGCACAGTTAAATATACTCGGCGAGGTCCTGAGCAGAGCACTTCTAGCCAGCACATTTGTTAGATGATTTGTTCTTGTTGTTGTTGTTTAGATAATGTGGTTCTTTTTATTCATATTTGGGGGGTCTTTAGAGTTGCTCTCATCCACATGTACCGTTCCTTGTGGTTCAGATTTCCTTACCCAAGCTGCTCTCTTATGTGACAATAAAGCAAACTGTAGTATTTAAGATCAATGCCAGAAACACAGCCGTAAGAATAGACATGGTGTCGCTTAAGACATAAAACCTGCTTCTTTCACTTTGGAAGGAAAGAAGAAGGGTGGCGTTTTATGTTTGTGGACATAGCTGGGACCCTGAAACCCAAACCAGCTTATTTCAGAGGCTTAACGTACCGTCTGCACCAGAACACCCCAGAACAGCGCCCTGCGCACTTTCCAGTGCGAGCATCCTGCCTGACACACAGAGCAGGCGTTTTAGGGTCGCATCTATCACCCCCCGCCTTCTTGGCAGGAAGCAGGGCTATTCAGCAAAACATAAAAAAGCTCTTACTAGAAAGTCATTCATTTCGTAGTTAGCGGGGTTTTACAAATACTAAAATATCACATGGAGCTTCTGCTTTCATAAGGCTGTCGTATGAGGCCTGCCTGGGGAGTTTCCCAGCAATTCTCTCCCTCTTTATGTATTTATATTTATATACATATATAAAAATACATACACGGTCACATTTGTTTCAGCACTCAGAAGCATAAGCAGATATGTAAGCCCAGGAAATACCATGTCAACCATAATTTTGAATTAAGGTCAGAACTCTTTTTATCATTCCAAAAGTCATCCTGTAAAAACATTTCCGTTTTTGAAGGCTGATTGACTTTCAGGAAAGCCTTTGAGTTTTCTAGTCCATTTTATAATGGACCAAAGAATTCAGAAAAGCGCAGAGGATCATGGTGCAAGCCTATAATTTTAGCACTTGGGAGGCTGAGGCAGGAGAATTTAAGAATTTGAGACTAGCCAGGGCTCCATAGTGAGTTCAAGGCCAAGGTGAGCTACATAGTGAAACCCTATCTCAAAAAAAAAAAATCTGAAAAGCAAGTTTTTTCTCCATATTCTTTCACCATTTCCCATTTCCAAATCATAATGATAACAGGAACTTTGAAAACAGATAAACAGCTTTGGGATCAAAACACAAATCTGATTTTGGAACAGGAGAGATACAAGTGTTTCTGTAAGTTCCTGAAACTGCTTCTCTACAAAGGCTCCCTTTACATACTTTTTCTCAAAAAGAATTTCAAGCAAACGAGAAGGATCGATCATTTTTCTATAAAAACGTGGATATGGGAGAAATGATCAGCCAAAATGATTTTTTGAGTCACGGTCTCACTGTGTAGCCCTGGCTGGCCTTGAACTCTCAGCAATCTCCCTGCCTCAGCCTTCAAATGCTGGAATTACAGGCTTGTCCACCATACCTGGCAATAAAATTTTTCCATCTTCTTTTTCCATTAAAAAAACCCCTCAAACTCACTGAAATCGTGAATTAAACAAAACAAAAAGGCAGTTCCCTGTTTGTTAACCTCTAATGCCCCACTTTGACAAAACTTCACACTGAATCCTCAAGAAAAGGAGGACCGTCCTGTCTCCAAAACTTGGCTTAAATGTTGCTGGTTTATTTGGACTTTCTAAGGGTTACCAAGAAAGGACGTGAAATGGTTCCATCTTTATTCTTTTCTTACAAATGAAATCGTACAGTAACTAACTTTCCACGCACGCAGGCCCATCTCCTGGGGCGCCCCAGTGTGCGGTACCGTGGGCCTGGGGGTCCCGTCCTAGGTGTCCTCTGTGGCCGTGTTTGCAGCCTGGGGAAGGCAGCCTTCCCCGCAGTGAGCAGGAGGTGGAGCTGGGAAAGCCGTTTGTTGGTTTCTTCTCATGAAACCTGGCTGGTCGCACTGCTCTTTGAGCTGGCAATGCCGGGTGACCCCTGTCCAGATGTCTCCCTGCCACCTGCAGGGCCACAGGGCTGAAACCCCAAAGCCAGGGACAGGGCCTCTGGTTCCAGAAGGCTTCAGCCTCCCATGCCCAGGTGTCTGTGGGGAGGGAGGCCAGGTCTGGAGGAATCAGTGTCCTGTCCTGTCACAGCGTTTGTGTCCAGGACACTCAGAGGGTCTGAGGATCAGGCCTTGGACTTCTAGGGGGAAGATCCATCCTGGTTTTCCTGGCGTCTCCCGTTGTCAGCCCAGAGGCCCACTGAGGTGACCCTGGGTGAAACATCTGGAAGGAGGTGGCAACTCCAGCAAATAATAATCACCACATCATGAGGCTCTCGGGAGGGAACCTGGGTCATCCTGCAGGTCACACAGAGGCCCAGCCGCACCCTGGGGTGGGAGCCCCAGAATCAGTACAGTCATCTGGGAACAGAAATGCCAGAGATGCATTTCTGGCAGCAGAAGCTCAGCCTGGCGGCGCCCTTGGTCCTGGCATGGAGCTGCCATCGGGCAGGGCTGGTCCCCGAACAGTGCTGCCTGGCTGCTTGGCCACAGTGGCTGGGGGGCGCCCAAGGGCTCATGCAGCCGCTCTGTCCAGGCCAGGCCAGGCCAGGCCAGGCCAGGCCCCCAGATAATGTTGCCCGAGGCTGCGGGGACCTCCACGGCCACTCTCTTCTGCCTTTCCTCTTGGGCTTCCTGTTTGGAGAGGCCGTGAGCTGCAAGTGGGAACCCAATTCTGTCCCAGGCAGGGTGTGAACCTGTGGCCTGCCCAGCCCCTCACTGAGAGACCACCGGTGACCTTTGTGACCCTTCTTCCCACACTAGGTGGAGCTCACGGGCAACAGCATTTACGAGTACATCCATCCCTCTGACCATGACGAGATGACCGCTGTCCTGGCCGCCCACCCACCTCTGCACCATCACCTGCTCCAAGGTACCTGAGCGACCAGGAGGAAGCAGGGCCTGTCCTTAACCCTGATGGGGTCTTTGCTTCCTACCTACCAAGCCTACCAAGGGGCTGGGCTTTGGCTGGGGCAAACACCCAATGCCCCGCCAACTGGGGGTTTGCATTTGTACCTCTGTTTTTTGGTTTGATTTTGCTTTAAAGACAGGGTCTCAGGTAATCCAGGCTACCCTTAAACTTGCCGTGTGACCTAGGATGGTCTCAAACTTGAGATCTTTCTGCCTCAGCTTCCCAAGTACTGAAATTACAGGCAGGCATGCCATCACATCCTCCACCTTTTAAACCAACATCGTTAAGCTGCTCTTCAGTGCCAGAGACTATCCAGAGTTGGAGACAAAGTGGTTAAAGCCTGTTCCCTTCACTGCAGTGTCAAGGAGTCTAGGTCTGGGCTGATGCTTATAGAGACAGGATCTGTGGGCTGGGAAGACCAGGCAATTTTGAGAGAAAATTAAACCTCTCTTTCCTCTCGGTGAAATTTAGCATTTCCATAGCTTCTGTCCTGTAGGCTACCCAGGGAAGCATAGTCCTGGTGGTTTTGCTAAGCACACACATCACGAATATTTTCACATCACCTTAGAGTCACTGTGGAGAGTTAAACACGCTGTCTGTGCTTGTGGCTACATTGAAACTCCAGGAGTTCTAAGACCCGATGCTGAGTCCTGTTATTGATAAAGCACATTCACATCCATGTCACGATGTGTTTCAGTATGTTGACAATTTTCCCCAGTGTAATACTCCTTACTTTATGCATTTGAGGACAGCACTTATTCCGGGGGCCCTGGCCTCTTAACCCCACCTGTGAGTGCAGGGTGGGGCAAACGCCCAAGAGCCATGAGGAAAAAATGAGTTCTGTTCCCATGGTTCCCTCCTGGGAAGCCTTACGGAAGGCCTGGAGGAGGGGCCCCACGGAACAGGCCCGGCTCTCACACCCTGAGGCTGTAGCTTTGTGTCCCGAACCTCTAGCTCCAGATACACAAGGTGTGATCACGATACACAGGGGAATGTTGACATTTTTAAAAATAGTCATTTGTTTCTGTTTGAGACAGTCTTGCTATGTCGATCAGGCTGACCTTGAGCTCACAGCCATCCCCCACCTCAGCCTGAGCGCTGAGATTGCAGGCGCGCGCCACTCTGTGCAGCAGAATTTATTAGCGTGAAAGACACTGCCTGTTTCAGAGTCACTCTTCCCGTGGGTGGGGCAGCTATCCCGTTTCCAAGGAAGCAGGAATCGCAGGCCGTAGCTACCTCATTCCCTGGAGCTGGCTCTGTGGGACTCCTGGCTCTTTCCCAAAATCAAAGTGACCTTGAAAGATAAATGTGGTCAGTGCATTCAGCACATTGAGGCAGCCACGATAGCCCAACTAAGGACACTCAGGAAAGGACTTCCAGAGCTGCTCCAGAAGCTGAAGAATGATGGGACAGATGTGTTGGAAGCTGGGGGAGGCCTTATGGCAACCTGTCTTTTACTGTAGTGAATGTCTTAAAAGTGTTAAACATTCCCTGTGTTTGCATCCTGTCGTGTAGCTGCAAGGACAGTGTTAGAGTCCAAGGCAGACGGGGGCTGAGCTGTGGCTGTGGTCGGTGAGTCCTGCTTCCTTGGAAACAGGACAGCTGCCTACTTAACAAGAAGCATGAGGCCAGGTGTGGTGGCGCATGCCTGTAATCTCAGCACTCGGAAGGCTCAGGCAGGAGGATCACTGCGAGTTCAAGACCAGTTTGGGTTACAAAGTGAGCACAAGGCCAGTTTGAACTGCATAGAGAGACCCTGTCTCAAAAAGACAAAAAAAAAAAAAAAAAAAAAAAAAAAGAAAGGAAGAATGATTGTGAAGAAGTCATTGCTGACATAGTGAACGTGGCGAGGGCACCGAACTGGGTTCTGCCGATTTCCCTTGGGTTAGAATCTGACGCATGCAGACACGGGCCTCTTGGGGATTCCTCGGGACATCACAGTGTGTCCGGATGGGTCGCACAGGGCCAGCTTTTCCCCCCAGCCTGCGTCCCTTTCCCCTTCCCCACTTTGCATGATGGAAGCAGATGTCCTTGGACTCTCTCCAGACCCACGGGACTATGGTTCTGTGGGACTGGAGTGGGAGGCAGCGGGAGGAGGAGCAGAGAAGGGACAGGTGGGGTGAGGGGTCTCACCTTTCAGGGCCAGCGGACACAGCGATTTCTGTGTCTGAACGGAACCCCCAGTGTCCTACGTGATGTGTGATGTGTGATGGAGAATGAATCACCCAGTGATGCCGCCGTCAGGATGGGTGGCCACGTTAGCTGACCCCGGCCGCAGCGGGAATTATGGGTAAAACATGGTGGCCTCTGCAGGCCCAGGTGGCTCCCATCCTGCAGGGGGTGATCCTTACCCTTGGAGTGTGTGGGAGGCCTGCCTCCCTTCCTGGTGGTCACTCTGCTCTCAAGATTAATTTTTGAACCTCTACCCAGCGGCCATTTATGTCAAGCGGATGATGTCGCCCTCACCCAGAGGTGTGCCATCTCTGTGTGCCAGGGATGCCCGCGCCCTGGAAGCCGAGGTGCTTCCTTTGGGCACCATTGGCAACGGCAAGGCTGGGGTTCATGTGTGGGGCCCGGGGAAAAAGCGTTGGCCTAGCCACAGCTCCCGGGGGCAGAGACACAGGCGCCTTCTCTGGGTGCTACACTGGCCACCCAGGCTCTCAGAGCCCACAGCATGGCCGGCAGGGGGCACCAGCCTGGCCTTGGTCATGGGTGGTACTTAGCGTCTGTATCCCAACAGAGTCAGCCACTTCTGGGGCTCCCGTGTAGCTTGGCTGCCTGTCCTGGGACTGGCCCAAGCCGCTCCATTGGTGCCAGGGGCTAGGAGGGGACAGCGGTGACAGGCGGGGCCCCACCAGCCACTCCCTGGCTCCAGGCTGGCCCTCAGGTTCTGCTGTGCCCGTGGGTTACCCATCCTCCTTTGGTGGCAACAGGAGTCGCAGGGGAAGCTGCTCTCTGGGTCAGGCCAGGCCTTGGGCTGTGGCTGTGGCTGTGGCCCTGAGAATTTCTTATCGCTGCTGGGAACACAGATGGGGAGCAGACATAGAACCCCACTCCTGCTTTCAGAGTACGAGATCGAGAGGTCGTTCTTCCTCCGCATGAAGTGCGTCTTGGCCAAGAGGAACGCGGGCCTGACCTGCAGCGGGTACAAGGTATGTGGGGCCAGCGGGGCAGTGTGGGGAGCCGGCCTGGGCCTTGGGTGTTGCCCTCAAGATCATGCGTGGAAATGAAGGCTCTGGAACCCAACAGGTCACCCATCCAGGGCCAAAGCCGCAAGGGACCTCTCCCAGTTGCCTGTGAGGCCGGGTTAGGCCTCTGGGTCTCATCACAGCAGGCCATGGGCCGAGGCTGCTCAGGACAGGGTCAGCTGAACCCAGATGGGAGCACAGGTTGGAGGAACGGCCCCATTCACCCTTCCAGTCCCCTCTCCGACACATCATCCTTCTCCCAGGGGTCTGTCTCCTCCTGCCTGAGAAGAAGTGGTCACTACTGTCCACCGCTCTGGAGCTGGAGAAGCTTCTGCCCCTTTGAAAAGGAGGAGGGAAGGCGGGTGATGGGGGCCTCAATGCCTGCATCCTTTCCAGGATGCCCCTCCAGGCCCCCACTGCGTGGGCTCTCTCTGCCCCTGACCCCTCCTCTGGCAGTCCACTCTGAGCTCTGCCCTCTCTCCTCACTCACTCTGGTTTTGGTTTTGGTTTTTTTGTTTTATTTTTTCAGTGCTAAGGATTGGACTGAGGGTTACTTGTGCAGGCTGGGTACTGATTTTGGGTTTTGGGGGGACACGGTCTCACTGAGCAGTTTCGGCTGGTTTTGAACTGATTTATGCAGCTCTAAATGTTAAAATGTTCTGGAATCTTGGAGAAAAGCTTTTTAAAAACACAGTTTTAAGGCTGAGATATCAGCATCCAACCAAGTGCAATGATGACCATGATCCTACAGATCTTACTGACTTATGTATTCATTTACTTCACTGGGCTTGGGACCCTACCCAGGGCCTTGGGTGTGGAACTGGGCAGCACTGTACTACTGACCGCACCCCCAGCCCACTCACTCACTTGAAATGCTATATATATAAATGCTTCTGATTTTGAGGTGCAAAACCACACAGAAGTTTCTGCCTGACCTGACCCCATACATTCTCTTCTGTTTGGTGTTTGGCTCTTGGAAAGGCTTATGCGGCTTATTGTTTATTGAAACCTTGAATTATCAATCAGCACAAGATAAAATAAATTCAGATGCATTCAAAAGGAAGACTTAAACATTCTACAGGCAGAAGTCTTAATTTACTGGAGTGGTACAGAGGGTCAGTAATGCAGACGTCAAGGTAGAGCCTTCCCGCAGCAGATGGGTGGCAGGAGCAGGACCAGATGTTTCTGTCCTGTTCTCCAATTACAACTTGGCAATGAGTTAATTAATATGAATCTACCACACAGAGAGATCCCTGATTCATAGCATGCCTTTTGCATGATCGATTGGTTCAAACAACATTTATGTTTTATGACGTTGCTTCCTAAGAGAGCAGCACAACAGATCAGGCTGACCGCAGAGCTCGAGGGGAGCTGGGCCAGGGACTATTCCAGAACATTCTAGAACAATAATGAGGGATGGGTGGGATGGGTACCAGCCCGAGCCCTGGTGGGCAGGGCCGGGGCCACCTGACTTGTCCCATGCCCTCCCAGGTCATCCACTGCAGCGGCTACTTGAAGATCAGGCAGTACATGCTGGACATGTCCCTGTACGACTCCTGCTACCAGATCGTGGGGCTGGTGGCCGTGGGCCAGTCGCTGCCACCCAGCGCCATCACGGAGATCAAGCTGCACAGTAACATGTTCATGTTCAGGGCCAGCCTCGACCTGAAGCTCATCTTCCTGGATTCCAGGTGGGTCTGGCACCTGCCTCTGCCTCCACTGCTGTGACAGCCTGGACAGCCCTGATGGCGGCCCTGAGCCCCTGTGACTCTGTGCACTGAGCCCCCTGAGGAAGGCCGGTTAGAAAAGGGTTCCCAAAGTGAGTCGTGCATGGAGAGTGTTGCGTCAGCCTCAGGAGCGGCCTTGTCATGAATTACTCAGGTTGTCTGAATCACCTCCCTGGACTGTGTCCCGGAAGCGTGGGTGGCGGGCACGGGCAGCCTCTCCCCAAGTCCCGCGGCCGCTGCTCTCGGCCAGGCCGGGCGGACTTGGGGACAGACAGGGCCTGGCAGGGCTGGCTTGGAAATGGGAAAGGAGACCCTTGGTCTCGCCCACCGGCATAGCCCTTTTTCTCTTTAAATTTTATCGGTTGACTGTGCAGAACCGGGAACTGGACCCAAAGCCTTCACAGTGAGCTATGTCCCGACCTTTAAATTTCTTTTTCTGGTTTCTTTTTCTTCTATTTGTTTTTTGTGAGACAGGGTCCTGCTGAGTCACTAAGTTGCCCGGGCTGGGCTTGCCTTGTGATCCTCCTGCCTCGGCCTCCCAGAGTGCTAGGGTCACAGGCATGCACCACTATGCCTGGCACTCACAGGTCTTTTTATCTTTTATTCTGAGGTTTTATTTTATTTTTAATTGGTAATAATTGTATTTTTACACGGGCTAAAGGGATGTACCAGGGTTACCTTCTGACATCCTCCCTTTTCTCATGGCTAAAACTACAGCCCCACCCAGCCACTAGGTACCCAGAGTCTTAGGAAAGCAGAACTCAGGTAACAGATGTGACACATGCGGAAAACAAAGCCCCTTGGCCTGTGGCCCCCTTGGCTGTGAATAAGGAGAGGCGCTCGTCCTAACTTGGTGTGTATGACACAGCTTTCCAGGAGGAAGCGTCATGCATTTTGTGTAAAACCAGAATTCACTAAATTTTTTTTTTCTGTTTCTTTCTCCTCCCAAGACAGATTCTTGTGCTCTGGCCTTGAACTTGTGGGTTCAAGCAGTCCTCCTGCCAAGTAGCTGGATTGTAGGAGTGCACCAAGATGCCTGGCTATTGAGTTTTTAATTGTTTTTATTTATGTGTTTTGCTTTGTTTATTTGCTGTTTCCCCTACTGCAGAAGCAGGGATTGAGGAGAGGAGGTTGGGCCAGCTGCCTCGGAGCCTGGCGTGTGCAGTGTTGGGGATCCCTTTCCCAATTTAGGAGTCACATGTGAAGAAAGTAGGCTTCCTAAGGGCAGTGTGAAAGGAATTAGGGAGCATCTGGCTGGTTTCTCTCTAGTTTTGCTTCCTAATATTACACGAATAATTTTGTTTTTTTTGTCTTTTTCCTTTTTATCGATCGGTACCGGGGATTGAACTCACTGACTGCCTGCTTGTAAAGCAGGCCGCTGAGCTAAATCCCCAGCCCCATGAATAATTTGAGAAAAACACGAAATTCTCTAGAAGAGGAAGGAAGGAAGTAACCCTAGAGGAGAGATTCAAAGTCTTTCCTGTGAGCCATGGAGGAGGTTGGCTAGAAGACACCATCTATTGAAGGGTGACTCAGATGTGGCCATTACAGAGCATCATGGGAACTCCTGCCCTTCAGATGTGGGGCCGCCATCTTGGAGAGCAGAAGGGTAGCCATCTTGAAGGAGACTAGAAAGGGTGGCCTTCTAGAATGTGCTTCTTCCTGCTGAATATCAGGAAGCTTCTGGAAGAGATGTTGGCACTTCCTAAACTTCTTTCCTGAAGGAAGGACTTCAGGAGGTCACGAGAGTGCTGCAGACTCCCGTGCAGTCGTGGTGGTCTTTGTTCCATTTGCAGTTCCAGTCATTTTTGAAAGGCCTTGGGCTGGAGACAGAGGCCTAGGCAGGACAGAGATGTCACTTTCTGCCTCCAAACCCCAGTAGCCACAGTGAGGGATTGACCAGCCCTGTGGCCCCAAGTCACAGGAGCAAAAGGGAGGGGCTTGGAGGTCCACTGGACCCGGTTTCAGACTCAGCTGAACTCGGCATAACCTGCGAGCCAGCTCCTCCAGAGTGGTGGATTTCATTCTGAAACCATCGCTGGTGCTTTGGGAAAGGATGGGTGAACCCAGCAATGTTTGGGGTTTGGCCGATCCCTATGGCAGGTTGTCAGACACTACGGGTTTGGAAAAAACCAGGAGGGTGTCCTGCAAAGCCTTCCCTCCCCTTTACTTCCAGAGCCAGTGCGGGCTGTGATGAGAAACCTAATCCATGTGTTTCTGATCCATTTACAAGTTGGGGCGCACTCTAGGCCTCAACACCCGAGGGTCTGAGAAACCCCTTTCACCCCGTGCCCAGGAGCTGCCTGGCTTTCTCTCTGGGGGAGACCGGATGGCTCAATTTCCCTGCCACACAGAGTCGAACTCTGAGGGGGCTCAAAGTTCTAGGTGACCCTGAGACTTGTCCCTGAAGCCCTGGATGACTGGGGGCCAGTGACATCCCCTCCCCGACCTCAGGCCCTGTCCCCTTCCCAGCCTGGGGGAACCGTGTAGGAATGTGTGCCTCAAACAGGCGGCTGTCGGGGACACACACAGAAAAGGAAGCGGGTTCCAGAACTAAAGGTCAAGTTTCTGGCTTAATGTGCAGCTAACATTTCATTTCCTGGTGCACAGTGCGCCAGGTGCGGCCTGCCTCAGTCTCCCTTCCCTGTCCTCCAGAACTGACTTCCCGTAGTCTCAACACCCCCAGGAACCCTTGCTTGTTCCTCTCTTCATCTGTGTCTGTCACCAAGACACCTGGACCACCTCTGGGCTAGGCCCATTTCCCCGCTGTGTGGGACACATCCAGGGGCTCCTCCAGTGTCAGCACCCAGCTCCCCCCAGAGACCCCAACAAAGCTGAACCTGGAAAAGGGGCGCGGCTTGGCACCCCCAAAGCTGTTCCTGCTTGAAGGCAGGCAGAGTCACATGCCTCATTGTCCCCCAGGGTGACCGAGCTGACCGGCTATGAGCCGCAGGACCTGATCGAGAAGACGCTGTACCACCACGTGCACGGCTGCGACACCTTCCACCTGCGCTACGCGCACCACCTCCGTAAGTAGCTCGGCCGTGACCCAGGGTGCAGGCACCACCGCCAAGGGCAGGGGAAGGGGCGTGACCCCTCCATCTCCCCAGCACAAAGGGCGCCCCTCAGTGACATGCAAGGGGTAGGGTGTTCGGGAGCTGCCTGGATGGGTCCTGGGCTGTGGGCTGGGGTCTCAGCCTCTCTGTGAGATCTGGACGATGCAGGAGCAGTGGGAGCCACGGAGGCCCCAGGCCGGTGTGGGATGGGGCTGGGCCGGGTGTGTGACCGCAGCCCAAGCGGGAGAAGGAGCCGGTGAAGGGCTTTGGTTTTCCAACGAGCAGAGCGAATACCTGGACGTGCGCCTGCCCCGCAGTCACCAGTGTAGCTAGCGGAAGGGACAAAGGGAGTGGACAACACGTCCTCCTGCTGACCCACCGCAGCCAGCCGGGGCCAGCCCAGGGCTGCAAGGGATGTAGGGGATTTTCTGCCTTGTGGCCGGGGTGCAGGTCCCAGGCTCACACCGTTAGCTAGGAGACCTTAGAGGGCAAGTAGCTGGTGGCACAGTGGGAGGTGGACGGCAGTGCCAGGGCCACTTGTCCCCCTTTGTCCTCCTGGCTGCACAGGGTGGGTGGTGCCAGTGAACCTGATGTCACCTGTGTGTCACCACTGCTGCCCCACGGCACCCCCAGCCCACCTCAGTAAGCAGGATGTCCTGCGAGGCAGACTCCTCCCTTCACAGCCTTTCTTCCTCCTCTGCCTCTTATATTTCGAGGCAGGGTTTTGCTCTGCAGTTGAGGCTGGCCTCTCATTCAGTGATCGCTCTGCCTCAGCCTCCTGAATGATGGGATCACAGGGGCGCGCCACCACGTCCGGTTTCTTTCAGTTTGTTTTAATGATCAAACCGTGGTCTCCCACAAAGACTGTGTCACACGGAGGGTCCACTGGGTGGGGACACAGCTGCTTGGGCTCAGGTGGACTTCATAAGTCAGGGTCACCCCCTGGGAGCTGGAAGCATTTCTCTATCTTTAGGGACTCAGATGCATGGCTGCTGTGAAGCTCGGGGAGCCCTGGAAACTGTAGATGGTGGAGGGAAGGGCCTTCTCTGGAGGGTGGAGCTCCCCAAAGGCCACCAGGCTGCCTACTGGGCCTCTAAGCAGAGCAGGGGTCTCAGGCTTTCTTTTCTTTTCTCTCTCTTTTTTTTTTTTTTTTTGATACCGCGGATTGAACTCACCACCTCACACTTGCCAGGAAGGTGTTTATGCTGCTGAGCTAAATCCCCAGCCCAATAGGACTCAGGCTTTCCTGGCTCTTGATTTGTGGGGCTGTGCCCTGGCCTGGCCCAGTGACCCTGTTTCACCTCTAATCCCTGTCCCCAGGCCGAGAGAGGGGCAGGGATTTCTCCTTCCTTCTGGAAAAACTGCAAAGGCTCCAGCAATGCTAGTTGTGTTGCTCTTGGGTCCCTGACGGGAGAGATGTGTGAGAGCCCAAGGAGGCCGAGTCAGGCAGACCTGGATGAGGCTGCTCTTCCTTGAGTTTCCCTTCTGTGGTCCTATCACAAAGGAGGCTGAAGCAGGCTGGTCTTCTGCCCACCAAGGGCCGAGACTTGCTCAGCCCTTCTGAGGGAGGTGTTCTATGATGTGTACCCTGATCCATTTCCAGACATTGCAGGGATCTGAGGGACGTGAGAAAGGGATGGCACCCCGAGGAGGTGCTTAGAAATGAGAGGGGGTGTGCAGCCATGTCGCCCAGGCGGTGGCAGAAAACAGGGTGGGGGTGCCGAAAAGCAGCTCTGAGCTGAGCGTCCCAGGGTTCACGTGGCTGAACCACGGAGCCCCTGTGTCCGTGTGAGGAGGTGCAGCTGTGCCCGGGAGCCTCCTAAAAGCCTGAGCCGCCATGGCCTCAGGACAGCATGGCCTCAGCTGGACATCACACTCCTGTCCCCCTGGGCACCCAACAGAGCAGGGCAGTCGGGTGACAGTGGGCGGGGTGTGATGAGGTCTGCTGGAGGTGGCCTTGAAGGTCACCAGGGTGTGGCCCTGGGCCCGAGCTCTGCTCTAGCTGCCAGCCCTGAACGTGGGGTTCAGGGGCAGTAGTTCATTCAGGTGGTGACTGAGACCTGGAGTGAGCCTTCCGGAGTGGGGGGATGGCCTAATGGGAGGGCCAGCCTGGGGGAGCAGCACCAGCCCAGGTCCCACAGGCCATGGCCTAGCTCAGGGTGGTCGCCCCACACCCAGCCGGAGGGGCTGTGCCACAGAAAGGCCCTTGAGGGGCAAAGGGCTGAGCCATGGGGAGTGACCACGGCCTGCACCAAGGTGGCCTCTTCTGGCCCCTCCATGGTGCCACCTGTCTGCATCTAGCTCTTCACGAGCGCCTCCTGGCACATGGGTCACACCTGCCGTGAGGCACCACTGCCTCCCTGCCCAGGGTCCCTGTTGGCCGATGGCTCCTGAGACCCAAGCTCCTGCCCTATGGGGCCAGGGCACCCACCCCTGGTGTCCAGTGCTGCCACCTCTCCCCCAGCTCCCGCTTGTCAGCAAAGAGCTGACTCAGGTGACCCAAGTTCTCATTTCTGGAGGATTCTTCTGTCACCTAGCGTTCAGATTTCAGGGGGCTCAGCCTCAGGAGCTTAAACCGTGCCTTAGTTTCTGCCAGTCCAACACAGAGGGATGTCCTGGTGGTTCCTGTGTGGCCTCCCCCCTTGGCGTGCAGATGGTACCCTCCGCTTATCCTCACCTAGTGTCACTGGGTGTCTGTCCCAGGCTCTCCCCCGTCACAGTGGGTCCATGCTGGCACCTGAGCTCACATGGCTTTAGTTCCTCTGTGAAGCCCCTGCTTTGTGCAGTCCAGCCTGGGGGGGGGCGACCCCCACACAGGGAGCTGGGGTCGGGGACGCTCACCTGCCCAGAGCAAGGATCTCTGCTGTGCCACATCCCTGTCCTCAGGCAGAGGGCTCGGGTCCTTTTCCGTAGCGTAGTCATGCAGGCAGGTGTGGGCTGGGCAGCTGCAATGTTGGAGGAGGCCATGTCCCGGCAAAGCTCCTTTTGCTCCCTAAGGTCAGGGTTGCATGGGGACCTCCAGAGGAGCCAGCAGGCACTCTGGTTCCTGAGCTGAAGTCCCACCCCAGAGCAGCCTGCAAAGAGCCAGGGTACAGGGCTGTCACCTGAGCATGGAACCCCAAATCAGCACTGTATTATTATTATTATTTTTATTTGAGACAGGGTCTCACTGTGCAGTTCAGGCTAGCCTTGAGCTCATTTGTAGTCCCAGCTGGTCTCGAATTCCCAATGATCCTCCTGCCTCAGCCTTCCTAGTGCTGGGCTTACAGGCGTGCACCACCAGGCCCAGCCTTGTCGGCGTTTTTTGTCTCAGACCAAATTTACAGGTGTAACAGCCAGCTCTTGCAGCCATTTTCAGCAGTTTGCAGCACCCGCTGCCCACTGCACTGCCCGGGTCTGTCTTATCCCCACACACGTCCCTCCTCTCCCAAGGGAGAAGCCCAGTCCCTGTCACCACACCTTCCCCGGCGGCCCTACTGGGTTCCGGCTCCCTGGTTTCCCGACCCGCACATTTCTCACCTGGGAACCCACAGAAGTCAACTTCGCTCTCACTGTTGCTGCTCTGGCAGTGCCGTCTCTGCCCGAGTTACACAGTATGTGGAGACAACGTCGGGCCCTGGACCCACACTTGTGGTGTTTGTTCCTGATCTTGGCTTTAAAGTCTCAATGGTTTTAGTTAATTAATTGATTTTTGCTTGAGACAGGGCCGCACCGTGCAGCCCGGGCTGGCCTTGAGCTCACAGGGATCCTCTTGCCTCGGCCTCCCCAGTGCTGGTATCACAGGCCAGTGGCACCTTGTCCAGTGTACATAGTTTGGACTTTGGTAGGTGGGGTCTTGGGGCTGTTATTAATTGGTGTGAACCCTGTGAATGGAGGTGAAGAGCTTCTCCACACTCCTGCAGGAAGCACTGTTTCCTCTGCACCAACGCGGCCCACTGTGGGCGTGGGGCCATCTGCACAGTGCCAGCATGAGAGCGGGCAGTGTGGCCCCCCTGGGGTGTCTGCTCATGGCCCAGTGAGTGTCGTCTGGGAGCTTCCAGGGCTTCTTCCTGTAGCCCCGAGGCTGACTCCCCAGTTCCCAGCTCAGGCAGCTGCTGAGGGGCTCCCCACCCCTAATGGGAATGTCCTACAGCTGGGTGGGACCGCAGGGCTGCTCTGGGCAGCTTCTCCTCACCCGCCAGCTGAGGCCTCTGGCATTTCCTCCCCCACACACAGGGGAGGGAAAATCACAGTTTATGGGTGCATGTAGGCTTTGGGGGACCGAGCTGAAGCCTAGAGTTTGCACCTGCACGTGGAAGATGGGCCCATGGGCTCAGTTTTCAGAAACTGTCACCCAGCCAAGGGCTTTGCTCCACGCACAGTGCGGGACCTTAATGCACCCCAGGAAAATGGGGGCAGTTGGGAAGAAGATGCCAGTGGCAGTGGGGTGACACACAGATGGGGAATGGCAGCCTCGAACCCTGGGAAGAAGCCCTGAAGCTCCCGACTTGGTTCAATGATTCCATCTCCCATGCCCTCTGCCCATGCACGATTTGGGGCATTAAACCCATGTGTGGCATTTGGGATACTAAGAAGCTAACCTGAGTCTGTCACCTTGCCAGGTCCCAGGGGCACAGGGGCTCCTCCCCCTAAAATACAGAGCGGGGACTGTCCAGCTCCTGCAGTGCCCTTGGCCCGGAAGGCTCTCACAGGACATAGTCGCCTGCGGGAGTGGCATCCCCGGAGTGGGGCCTACTAGGCCCGAGGACTCACGTCCCCTTGTGCTTGCAGTGCTGGTGAAGGGCCAGGTCACCACCAAGTACTACCGGCTGCTGTCCAAGCTGGGCGGCTGGGTATGGGTGCAGAGCTACGCCACCGTGGTGCACAACAGCCGCTCGTCCCGGCCGCACTGCATCGTGAGTGTCAATTATGTCCTCACGTAAGTGTAAGTCAGCCGTAAGTCAGCCTATTGGTTCCACTCCTCTCCCATCCCACCCGCCCACACCACCTGCCCCGCCAGCGCTATCCCCTCCTTCCCTCCCTCCCTCTCTCTGAACTCTTCATTTGTCTCCTGTTCTGTTCGGATTGGTACCATGCAGCCACTTTCGAAGGTCTAAGCTGAAGAGGGGCCCTGCTCTGGGAGTGGCTGGGACTCCAGCACAGGCCTGGTGAGGGAGGGCTGTGAACCAGGAAAGGAACTGGTGCTGCCCGTCTGTTGGTGCCCACAGCCTGGGGCAGAGGAAAACTGTGTTCTTATCTTCCTACAAATGGGGCAAATGATGGTGAATCCTTGGCCCCCTAAAAGACCCAGGAGCCTGGCATGGCAGCACACACCTGGCATCCCAGTGCTCTGGGAGGCTGAGGCAGGAAGATCACAAGTTCCAGCCCAGCCTAGGTAACCTAATGACTTAGCAAGACCCTGTCTGGAAATAAAAAAGGGGCTGGGGATGTAGCTCAGTACGAAGGCCCTAGGTTCAATCCCTAATGCCACCCTCAGCTCCCCCAAAAGACCCAGAGGGTCAGCTTCAGTCACAGAGTTCCAAGGCTACTTCCACCCCACAGGTGTTAAGTCACCTTGTGCGGCCCTGGCCCAGACCTGCTGCCCCATTCCCCCAGCGCCTCCTGGGAAGTGGGGATTCAGGCCCTAGATTCATTCAGAAGATGGTCTGCGGGTCACTGTGTGTGGAGGTGGGGGATGGTGCAGACTGCAGGAGAAGTTTCCCTGCCACCACGTGCCAGCTGGCCCTCGGAAGTGACCTCTGTGCCCTGGATGCAGCTTGGCCGGGCTGGCTCTGCAGGGCAGAGGCCAGGGTAGGTGAGGCCGGAAGCCAGGCTCTTGCGTCTTACTGCTTCCCTCTGGGTGCTGAGAGAGGCCCTGAGCCGTCCAGATGCCTGCGCCCTGCCCCTCTGTCCCTGCCCCAGCCTCTGGCCTTGCTTGGCTCCCTGGGTCACCTCGGGCAAGAGGCACCATCCGGAGCTGCCCCTCCCTGGAGCCACCTCATGCCCCACCCGTGCCCCTGACCCTGCTCTTGCTCCCCAGGGACGTGGAGTACAAGGATCTGCAGCTGTCGTTGGAACAGGCGTCCACTCCCAAGGCGCCGGACTCCTGGAGGACCACCCTGCCTACCTCGCAAGAAACCAGGAAGCTGGCTAAGCCCAAGAGCATGAAGGTGAAGGCGAAGCTGAGAGCTAACCCCTACCCCCCACAGGTAAGGCGTGGTGGGGCTGGCTCAGTCTGTCGGCCTGTCTGTCCCTGAGGCTTGGGACCCACAGGCAATGTATTTGTGTTTGTTTGTTGAACCCAAGCCTCACACTCAGCCCCAGCCCCAGCCTTTTCATGTATTTTCACTTTTTTACTTTGAGCCAGGGTTTCACTGTATTGCTAAAAGGAACCTGCAATCCTCCTGCCTCAGCCTCCCAGAGTGTGAGGTGATGTGTGGGCCACCATGCCTGGCTCACAGGGGCGTGCTGAGGAATAAGCCCCCTCTGAACACAAGCAGGGAGCACAGCCAGGTCCCTCAGGGGTGTCCTGTCTGTACAGCAGTGGCAGAGCTTGGGGACAGTTTAAAACAGGAAAAAGATGACTCACACAAGAGGGCACATCAGCCTGCTGGCTCCATACAGATGTTGGTTAGAATCCCAGACCATCCTGTTTTTCAAACAGGGCTTTTGTGGAGCCCAGGCTTATCTTAAACTCCTGGGCTTAAGCGATCCTCCTGCCTCAGCCTCCTGGGTAGCTTGGCCTACAGATGCACACCCCTGTGCTCAGCTCAGAGCATTCTGACCATGAAAATCTTCCTCATTTTTCACAACTGTAGTTTGTGCACTCCAGGAACTATTGATGTCCACCTGGGCCCCGTGTGTGGTCAGTTTAAGGTGGGGACTCTTGTCACCCAGGGGCTTGGTCGCTGGCCCTGTGAGGGCCTCCCATTGGGGTCGGTTATGCTCTGGACCAAGGCTGAGCCAGGCGTCACCGTCTGTCCACTTTGCCACGCAGCAATACGGTGCGTTCCACGTAGACAAACTGGATTGCGGCCAGCTCGGACCGTGGGCAGCCGGCGCCCCTGCCAGCGCCCCAGCCGCCCCGGAGCAGCAGCTGCACGCCGAAGGCAGCGACCTCCTGTACGCGCCCCCCTACAGCCTGCCTTTCCCCTACCGCTATGGCCCCTTCCCCCTGGACGCGCCTGTCTTTAGTGGTGGCAAGAAGCCCGCACTGCAGGCCAAGTTCGCGCCGCCCCCGGGCACCCCGTGCGAGATGGCACGCTTCCTCCTGAGCACGCTGCCGGCCGGAGCCGAGTGCCAGTGGCATTGCGCCAACGCCCTGGGTCCCGCCAGCCCGCCCGCACCCCCTAAGTGCCTCGCGGAGCCGCCTGCGGCCCGGCACCTCGCGGCCGGCTACGAAGGTAGGTGCCGGGGGCCAAGGTGCAGGGGCGAGGGTGGGCGCCGGGGACAGCGGCGACGCTGGCTGCTGGGGCCCCTGCGCCTCTGCTTCGCCTGGGTGGGAGGCACGAGGACAGCCGGGGCCGGGACACTAGTGACCGCGCGAAGGGCGCAGGGAAGCCGCGGGCCCTGTCTCCACCGCGCGCGGGGTCACAGCGCTCTCCCGGGTTTCCCAGCCGCACGTGCCTGACCAGAGGGCAGCCGCTCAATGCAGCCCCTGAGAAGCGAGCCTGCACAGGAGGCTCAGGGCAGTCTCCAGGCTGGTGGCCGCCGAGCAGATACCTCCGACCGAGACCGCACTGCTCACCGGGCTGTCCTGGGTGACACCACGCACCCTGACCTCACCCCTGCTGGGCAGAGACCTACCGGGACGGGGCTTCCTAGCCAGTTCTACAGGGGGAGACGTGCCCCCTCCAGATTTCCAGGCTGCTTTTGCAAATAACCGACATGGAAAAGGCCAGGTCTGGCCTAGGAGCCGGAGAGTCCTCAGCGTTAGACCCGTAGCACCCATGGGCAGCTTGGGTCCCTGGCACAGCCAAGGATGGGAGTTTTGCAAAAACCCAGGAAAGACTAAAGGAGCGTTTGGACAATAGTCCAAGCTTTAGCAGTAGTCCAGGGTTTTGCAAATACTGTGGACTTGAGATGGATTTGTTTGATTTTTGTGATGCTGGGTATTGAACCCAGGTCCTTTACTCTCAGCCATTTTCCTCTTTTATTTTTTTTTTTGGTTTGAGATGGAGGCCTCACTACGTCCCTAGGTTGTCTGGGCTGGGCTTGTACTTTGGTTCCTCCTGCCTCAGCCTCCCAGGTGCTAGGGTTACAAGCCTGCACCACCACACCTGGCTTTCCCTGGACCTTCTCAGTGGCCGTTTGCGACTGTACCGCACCGGGGAAAGAAGGCCGTGGGTGGTGCAGCTCTGGGCGCGCGAGTCTCACGTGTCACCTGTCCCCACAGCAGCGCCCGGCGCCATCGCGCGCAGGTTCGGTGAGGACTCCGCGCCCCAACCGCCGCCTCCACCGCCGCCGCCGCCGAGCTTCCCAAGCTGTGGCCACTACCGCGAGGACCCCGCGCCGGGCCCGGCCAAGGTCGCACGCCAGGCCCGGGACGCGGCGCGGCTGCCCGAGTGTTGCGTGCCCCCAGGCCCGGAGCCGCCGAGCGCGCGCGCACAGCTGCCCCTGGTGCTGCTCAATTGCCACCGCGTGCTGGCACGGCGCGGGACGCTGGGGGGCGCTGCGCCGGGCCTGGCCTGCGGCCCCGCCGCTCCTGAGTGCCTGCTGCGGCCCCGGCACGCAAGCCCTGCAGCGACCTCGTCCCCTGGCGCGCCGCGGCCTCACTACTTGGGCACCTCGGTCATCATCACCAACGGCAGGTGACGAAGCCCGGCTCGGCCCCGCCAGTTTCCCGCGGCGCAGGCCTAGCGGACGGACTGTCGCGACGCGCTTCTGAGGGCTAGCCGACGCGACGGATGCAGAGATGGCGACCTCGGCGAGCTCCGCACCAACCCAGAGTCACCCGGGATGGACGCGGGCACTGCGGGCCCCCAGCAGGGACTGAACTGTCGGACCTTGTCCTGCGAGCCCGAAGTCCCTGTCCACTCCGACCTCATGCGCCCTGCCTTTAATTGGGGACACTCGGTTTCCTCCATTTGAGATCAAGCTCTAGGAGTCTTACTGTCCCTCAGGGCTGGCGATGGCAGATTTCAGGCTCTGCAGCTCAAGGACACGCGAGGCGGTGGCCATCCACCCGGACAGGCACCAGATTCCAGGCGGGGCTCGGTCCCCTCAGTGCTTAGGTGAAGGCAGAGGGCGGGCGCTTTCAGCTCCCTGCATGCACCACTCCGCAGTCTTTAAGTCATTCATGAGTCTTAGGAATTTTGTAAAACTTGAATCCTTTCCTGAATACAAAAATCAGCAAGCCAAGTTGTGTGTCTGTGTGCGCGCGTGCAGGTGTGGTTACAAACACATTAAAAGCGTGCATGTCCCCGCCAGACGGGCTCTTGCTTGCCCTGGGAACAGCACCTTAGGAGCAGGAGCTCACAGAGGCGGCATCAAATGCAGAAGGCCCCACGCCCCGGGCAGAGTCCGGAGCCATGGAGCCACCGCGAGCCAGCCCCGTGTGGCGCTGACAGTCTGGCGAGCTGCGTATGCAATATGGGAACGCAGTGGTCCACGCCGTGTGGGGAACAGTGTGCCAAGCAACGTCCCGAGGACTATGGACACGTTCTAAGCGTCTTCGTGGCAGAGCTTGCTCTGAACTTATTGTGTGTAACAAGGTGGTCGGAGAGCGTTTCTAAAGCACCAACAGTGTTTGAAAACTAAAATTCCATTACTTTTCATTTTTACAGCTGCTTGCTCAAAGATGTCACCGTTTAAAAATCCCATCATGGCTGTGATCTGGATACATGAGGTCACAGACACTCCACGTGCCACGCGCTCATTTTGCTGCTTATTCGAAAACAGTTTACTTTGAGGAGACTACTCCCATCTTCTGAGTGGAGAGGGGTTTTCAAGTTTTGAGTTTCTTCTGGTATCAAAGTGCTCTTCAAAGGTGAACTGATCTTTTGCCAGCCCTGTGTGAGGACTCCGTGTATCCCCTGCAGAGTGCACTTGGCCTTAGAGTGTGTAAATTGGGGGACACATGTCCCGTGGCAGGGGAGCCAGAGGCACCCACCCTCCCGAGTTCGGGGTGGCGGAGCAAGTGCACCCCAGGAAAGCCAAGGGTACTGCACCTTCTGCTCGTGAGCCTCTGAATGAAACTGTGATTCCTGAGACGCTCGAGACTTCACCAGTGTCCAGTAAAGCACTGCAAAATGCTTTTTTGTGTCTCCCTGGTTATTACCCCTTGGGGCTTCGTTCAGTGAAAGCCAACCACCGAGGCTTCGGGAGTAGATCAATAGCAACATTTAGAGACTTCTACAGGCTGATGATGTAAGCAGGCCTAACAAAGAGTACTTGGGGAAGAAAATGTGTTAATAGAAAATGCCTTGTCTGAAGCAATACCAGTTTTCATAGCCTAGAACTGCAAGGACGGGGCCCCTAAAGCCACTTCGGGATGTCCAGGGGCTCACCCAAAGTAGCCACCTAATCATCTTTTAAGAGTCCGCATCCTGCAGCTGCTGCTGTATCATTTCCAGGCTTCTGTGAGTCTCTGGCAGGGAAAGAGGAAACATTTTAATAAATCTGCCTCTTTCACAGAAAAAAAAAAAAAAAACCTGTAAGGGGCCCCAACATGTACCACATTGACAAAAAGCCAGATCAAGTGGATCTGAGCCTAATTCAGGACTGGCTGGGCCCTTTTATTCTTGGGAGCTGTCTTCTAGAAAAGGCTTCCCTTGGTATCTCTGCAGAGAAAATCCCACCCCCACTCTTCCAAAGTCCTGCCAGCCACGCCCCCAGCTTAATGTCTGGGCAGCGCCAGCACCCCGAAGTAAAGTCTACCCAGGTTCCCTTACTGGGCGCAGCTGCACATAAAATGGAATCAAAAGTGCATTTTCAAATAAATGCCATGAAATCATAGTGGCTTCTTATGGGGAACTGGGGTACAGAATGCATGATTCACAGCATTTCTCAGCCTAAATGTGACACATGAGGCTACGACCTCGGGCACGAGCACTTCTGACATAGGTCAGCTGATCTTCATAAAGGAACAGGAAAAACCTCTAAAGAACAGACTCTAAAGCGTTACATGTATTCATCTCAGTTAAAGTTTTAATCTTTTACTTCGGGGTTTCACTAACTTACTTTAATTCTATTGTCAAAAATACATAAAAACCAAACCAAAAACCCATCTGGCTTCTTAATACTTTAGGAATCCATACATATTCCTTATTATATAAAAGCATTTTATTTATTTTATTAAAAATGTTTAAACGTAAATAAAAAATACTGTTGTCAAAAGCAGCTGTTTTTTTTTTTTAATGAAGTTTGTAGACTAAAAACAAGAATGAGCTCAAACCACAGAGTTTTGGTTTATTTTGGTGACTTGCTTCTTATAGGCATTGGTTTCACATGATTCTTTTCAGAAGAGACTTTAAAAAGCTGAAGGGAAACGCAGGGTTGGACACCTGCTTTCTTTTCCAGAAGCACAGTGATGAGCAGGGACATGAGACTGTGTCCCACTGTGGTCTCACAGCAGCCAGAGAAAGGCAGGAGCCTAGGGCCAGGCCAGGCTCCCTCCCTGGGACTTCCCTGGCCTCCAAGGGCCCCCACATCCCCAAGCCAGGTCCCATTAGTGTGCTACAGTGTTCCCTGTTGGGCACAGGTCCTTCCTACAGAACCTGCTCAATGCCCTACCAGGCCCCAAGCCATGCCAGCAGGGCCACAGGAAACTGTTCTACTGCATCCTGTTCCACAGCTCGCTGCCCCTCCACTCCATACCCGGGGGACCCTGTGCCTTCCAGCTAAACATGGTAGATGCTCGATGCACCTCATTTATTTATGTATTTATTGGATTTTTGAGACATGGATGCACCATGTAGCCCAGGTTGCCCTTGAATGCGCAGTAATCCTCCTGCCTCAGCCTCCAGAATGCTGAGGTTAGAGGTGTGTACCTCCATGCCAAGCTTTCAGTGCACTTTGAACTGGAAAAGGATAACCCACTGTTGTAAGTGCTTGCAGTGATCCTGAGGTTGGTGGCCCTGTTTCAAGGATGACAAAGAAAAGGTAAAGTCCCCATGAAGTTACTACGGTTCCTGAGTACACGGACACGCTAGCTGTTCAGCGCAGAGGAGCAGCAGACCCCACTAGCTCCAGCCTCCAACACCTTCGTTTTCTCTATGAAGCCAAATTTCAAGACTCTTTGGTTCATGTGACGCAAACCAGGTTTATGCAGAGCTCAGCCTATTTTTGTCTTTCCCAAGATGCCTGGCTGTCCCGCACATGCAAGAACACCTCTCCCAACCTAACTTCAGGGGCCAAGTGGCACACACAGGACATCTCGGGGTACTTTGACATGGCCACACTTCATCAGTTTTCATTTACAGAAAGGAAATTAAATGATAATTTTTTCCCCAAAGCAAAACTATCTAGAATAAGCTTTCAGCTTAAAACAAAACATGGTATGTTTTTCATTAAATAATTCCCCAAAGAAATTCAGCAACCGAGCCCGCGGCTCTGAGAGAGGCCCGCCTGCTTCGAGCAGCTCTGGACTGAGGTGGCTGTGCTGGCCCCGGAGCCAGGTGACACTGCTGCAGACGCCTCCTCCCCGGGCAAGCGGGTCTGGGCATCTTGGGCGGTGTGGACTTGCACTCAGACTCTTCATTAATTCCAGAGAAGACCTGGTCACCAGGCTGGATATTTTTTTTCTAAGTTTAATTTTTTAATTTGAAGAAAACTACCAACTCAAATACTCTAGCAACTAAGTCAGTATTTAGAAGAGAGTGATTTCTCAAAAAAAAAAAAAAAAAATCCTAATGGAGGCCTGATTTGCAAAACTGACTTCTGAAGTCCTTTTACGGTTACATTTCCAAAAAACACAGATCGGGGTGACGTGCTTAACCAGGCGTGGAGCTCTGTGCTTCTTGCAGGGCTGTCTGTGTCCGGCTCAAGAGCACGGGTGGATTTTACCCTGGAACGCACGTGTCCCTGGAATGGGCCTACACAGGACCTGTAGGAGGATGGTGCTGGTTACAGTTTGGGGTTCTCTGTGAACCTGGAGTCGTATGGAGTTCTTTCCTGACTTCAGCTGGAAGAGAGATGAGTGAACACAGATGAGCTTTTGAAGCTAAGGGAGTGGTGTGATCCCTAAGCCTGGGAGAGACAGGAGCTGTGTGGGGAAAGCACGGCGTGCATCTGCAAACAGCAAACATCAAGGCTTCCTTCTGTCTGCTCCGCCACAGAGACTCTGAGGACATCAGATTTCACATGGAGGCAGGCACCCATATTCTTCCTCCAAAATGATAGTTTTCAGTATCAGAATCATTTTCTTGGCAGCAGAAGAAAGGAGCAAAAAAAATTAGGACTTTCAAAACCAATGCCTCAGTGCCAGTGTGGCACAAGCCTGTCACCCCAGCACTTGGGAGGCTGAAGCAGGAGGATTGCTGTGAGTTTGAGACCAGCCCTGAGTACTCAGACAGTTCAAGGCCAGCCTGGAACACACAGATAGTGCAGGAAAGACCGTTCCCAAGACAGAGTCAGGATAGGGGACCGACTCCAGCATCAGTAAGCACAGGTCAGTGGGTGTTCTCAGACCATTGCAAGCAATGCTGCTTCTTCCATCCATGGGAATCCCTCCCTGGGAGCCTGCAAATGTCCAGCTCACCATTGGCCTGCACCTGGAGCACTTCTGACTTGATTTTGTAATAGCTTGGGCTAAAAAAGCCTCTGCCACTAGAAAATCATTTGAATACCATTGCTGTTTCCATGTTTAAAAAATTTTTTTTTCCCTAATAAACACAAATCCAAGTTCAAAGAGAAGGGGTGATTTCACACCCAGGGGGGCTTTACCTGAACTAAATCTTTCATCTGTCCACCTTCTATCTGGAGGCATCTCCAGACAGACACCCAGCAAAACAGCAAAATCTTTAAGAACCAGAAAAATTAGAGTTAACAAAGGCAGGGGGGAAAGAAATCACCCTCAACCCTCCAGGAGCTTTCAGGTCCTGAAGGTGGCCGGGAGGTCGGAATGCTTGCTGCGCCCCCAGGCCCTGCACAGCCAGCCTGGCTTCCGCCAGCCCGTCCAGGCCCCACTACCACCGCTTGGGCAGCACAAGGTTGCGCAGCATGTCAAAAGAGTTGCCGTCGGGTAGCACGGTCACCACCTCACCGCCATCCTGGTGGACCTGCAGGTACCCAGAGTCGTCGAGGCCCACAATCCACACCTGCGGGCCCTCAGCGCTGCCCAGACGGACTTGCTGGCCACTGCAAAGGAAACACAGTGGGGTCACTGGGAGTGTGATGGGAAGGCTGGCAAATGACTGTCCTTGTACTGTGGCCTGGGACCCAGGGGAGAGGACCGAGGCGGCCATGGTGCCAGGGCAGCCCCTCAACGCTCACCTCCTGGTGCATTATTTTCTTTTTCTTTTCTTTTTTTTTTTTTTTTTTTCTGTCTTTTTCATTTTTATCGGTACCAGGGATGGAACTCACAACTGCCTGCTTGCAAGGCAGGCACTTATGCCGCTGAGCTAAATCCCCAGCCCCATGGTGCATTACTTTCATTACTACTAAACAACCAGGGTCAGCGCTGGGGAGGCTGACGCAGGAGGACTGCCCTGAGTTAAAGCCAAACTGTATACATAGTGAGATCCCATCCCTCATACCCAGTTTGTACTAGGAATCAAACTTACAACCTTGCCATTCCCAGGCAGGTGCTTGCATCCTGAGCCCTAACTGTTTCAACAAAACAAAATAAAAAAACCCCACAGGGGTATTGATTGGGACTTTGGCTTCTGATCATCATGCTGCTGGCCCTGAGTGCCCACCCCAGCCTGCGAAGCACCGGTGATTCAGTCTCTGAGGCAGAGGAGAGGGGAGATTATCTTACGAAGTTGGGCAGCATCGTTCTGGAGTTTTTCCAAAAGCAACTGTTAACTAACATTACTGTCAACAGGTTTCAAACCGGAGACTCCCACACCCCGTTTTTATTCTGTATTTTAAAACTTTATTAATTTTTGCACTGCCAGGGCCTCATGCACCCTAAACAGGTGCCTCTAGGTCCTCCTACCCCAGAAGTTAATTTTTGAAGAGTTGCGCACCTACAGAGCACGGAGAGAATCGGCCTGCGCCACACATCTCCTTATTCACAGCAAGTGACAAGATTTTCCATATTTGCTTTTTCTCTTGACCCTCTTTCCCGGCTGCGTCATTAAAAGTCAGTCCCGGGCATATCGACTCGTGCTGCTTAGCACGTGTCTGCCCCAACCGATCCGCTCTGCCCTCCGGAGCCCTGTCGGAAGCCTCACACATCCTGGCGCCCACCTCCCCTTCCCGGATGCCTGCCGCCCCCACCCAGCGCCTCCCTTCAGAGGGCACCGACGTTCTGCGTGGCCAGGCAATGGTACCCGCAGCGCCCTGCGCCGTGAGTGCCGCGCTGGCCTCGGCCCTGCTTCCGCCTCGCTGGTCCGGGGTGGGAGCTTGCATTCCTCACAGGACCCGGACTGGGCTGCCTGTGCGTGGCTGGGGCTCTAGAGCGCTCAGGGAAGTCGCGCTGCCGGGGTTTGGGGTGCTCTGGAGAGCGGGTCTTCTGCAGAGCTCCCGCGGTAGTGATGTTGCCTCCCGCACCTCTCCAGAGTTCTCCTGGGGTGCGGCGTGCACCTCCCCCTCCCCACTCAGGACGCCATACCTTGGCCTGCACTGACCTGTGCACCCAGTATTTATAATACAGGGGGAGGACGCCATCGGGCCCTTTGTCCTGAAAGGTGTCAATGAGTCTCTCCAGTAGCGTCACGGCCCTGGCGATGACATAATCAGCCCTCAGGGGCTTAAGCTCTGTGCCATGCTGCCTGTTGTACTCTTCAATGAGGTCATTGATGCAGATGGTGGGGTTGCTGTTCGTCACATTAAACCCAAAGCCTGCACAAGGAACAGACAGACAAAATGCTCAGCCTGACACCTCAATGCATCATCTGGTCCTCCGCAGACCCTGGACAGAGCTGTAGGTCTGGGGGTGGGGCCCAGGGCTTGCTTCACATGCCTGGTGCCTTATGCCCAGCCAGAAGGCCACGGCTTCACGCCAGCTTCCCGTCTGCTCAGCCTGCCTTCGAGGACAGAAGTGGAGAAAGGCAGCCATGGGCACCCTATAAGTGGAAGCTGTCGCTAGGACCCAGCCCCAGCAGCCTTTTGGGGGTTAAACACCCCTCACCTGGTCCAGGCACGAACCGGACACAAACATAATCTGCTTTTCCTTTTGCTTGTGACAGGACACAGGCTTGGAGACAGGGACATTTCTTCAGAGTTTAAGAATAAATCCTGGAGTCCGAGAAGTCACAACTGGTCACGGTTCACCCCGAGGACCCATCTTTGAACCCTCTGTCCTTGGGTCCTGGGGCTGAGACTTGGCTGTGGTAAGCACAGACCTGCGCTCAGGGACACTGTTCTGGGAACCTTAGAGGTCTCCTGGGAGGAAAGGGAGACTGCAAGCAGTATAAGGCCGAAGGACAGGTACACCTTTCCATGTGTGAGGTGGGCTGGGAATTTCCAGCCCCTCCATCAGCAGCCGTCAGAAAGTAGCTCTTTTCAGAGCCAGAAAGGACAATTTAAGAATGTCATACCATGCCAGGCATGGTGGCACACACTTATAATTCCAGCACACAGGAGGCTGAGGCAGGAGGGTCCCAGTGCGTTTGAGGCCAGCCTGGGTTATGTAATGAACTGAAGGCCAACCTAAACTGCAGTGTGACCTTGTCTTGAGCCCTCCCCCGCAAAACAAAATTAAAATCTGCAGGGTTAAAACCTAGAGGGAGAACTGTCTTATAAATTAAATCTCTGAATACAGAATGGCACACTGAATGTTTATTTTCACTATTTCAAGTTCAGTGAGAGGCGGAAGTGCACGAGGGGCAGAAACACTTGCTTGGTGTGATTCCACTTTGGTGGTTTCCATGGCCACAGACAAGAAATGCAGAATCCCTTGAAGTGCTTTCAGTCAACCTGGTCCTCTCCACATAACTAAGGCAGGCGAGGACTGTGAGGCTCACGAGAAGAGCTGTCTCACACTGCAGTGTAGACAAGCACCAACTTTTTTGGAGGTTGGTTTTATGAGTGATCAGGTCCCTATGCTGTTCAGGCCTGTCTTGAACTCACTTTGTAGCTTGGGCTGGCCTCAAACTCACAGGGGCCCTCCTGCCTCAGCCTCCCCCGTGCTGAGATTACTGGTGTGTGCTACCATGTCCAGAAAGCACAGACCATTTTAATTTTGGGGTCTTGGGCCGGGGATACAGCTCAGTGGCATAGCACCTGCCTGGTAACTCCTGCCCTGAGTTTGATTGCGAGCGCACACACACACATACACACACACACACAAAAGATAATTCAGGGGCATCTCATTCATGTAAAAACTGCTGAGGGAAAGGCTTTAAAAACTTACCAATCAGTATGTAAAATGTGTCTCCCATAAGTGTTGAGTTAACTAGAACACCACCGATCTTCATGAGGTCTCCGTAATATATGTCATTGGGCCACTTCACTCGCAGATTGATATCCTGGAGAAACATCTGCCATTAATTAATCAATCACAAGACACAAGGGGCTGGATGGCATCATCCAGGCAAAAGGGAGGCCAGGAGAACACACTCTAAGCTAACAGAGTGTGGCCTCCCCTCTCCTGCGACAGCGGTGGGGCCTCTGGATGATCCACGGTGAAGACCCTCCTGTGGGCAGAGGGCGGGAGGCCTAAGGCATGCCACAGTGCGAACCCTAGCTCTGTCCTTAGCACCTGCAGCTCTCCTCTCCAAAACCTCTCGAGAAAGCCCAGCTGTGAGTGTTCACTGTCATTCCAAGAGCTGGACACAGGGCGCAGGGCCTTTCTCACTTGGGAAGCTGCGCTCACAGGGCAAGACGGCCCTGCAGAAGGAAGGGGTGCACGAGATGGTGGTGGAAATGCCTCGTGCCTGACAGGGCCACCTGCTGAGGAGGAGCTCACCAGACCAAGGTGTCACAGAGAGCCCCGCAGGGCCGCCAGCCGTCAGCTTGGGCAGAGCTGCACTTGTCACGTGGCCCCCACCTGCAGGATGTGGGCCCCATCCTGCAGGGGTGTGGCCCACAGCGCCGTGTGTGCCTTGCTCACAGCAGCTGGACCAGGGTGGACACCCAGGTCTCCACCCAGCCATGGAAGCAGGGAGGCTTCACAGACTGGGCTGGACGTGGGTAAAGGAGGCCCTGGAGATGCGAGTGGACGGAGATCTGCAGTCAGGTGAAGCTGCGGACTGGAGCGCAGTAGCCTCCCTCCCCCAGGTCAGTCTCTGTGTACTTCAGGTCCTGGCGCTGGCCCCACCTGCCTGGTCCACAGGCTCCTTGCACCTGCTGCTGGCTCAGCCTCCTTTATGGAGGACGAGATGCATGGCTGCCATGGGACAGCGCTGGGATCTGGGTGCAGAGCTCTGATACCAGCTGGTATATCAGTGGTGTGGTCTGCTGTCCCCTGCTTCCTGGCTCCTCCTGTCACTGCTGTCCTCCAAAGCCTGTGGTCCCACACAGCCGGGGACCCAGGGTAGCAGTGGGCAGGGAGCCAGTGTGACCCTGCCTGGCACTCTTGCCAGACCCCAAGGTCTCCAGAGGGCAACTGCCATCCTGGCTGCCACAGCTCAAGGGGATGCGACCAGAACCAGGCGGTGAGGAGAGGCCAGGGCTTGTCCTCCTATCATCCTGTGCACAGCGAGGTCCCAAGGAGGAGGATGTGAGGAAGTGACTCTTGCTTCAAAGAACAGGTGACGGCAGTGGGGTGCATGTGACATGGCTTTGGGGCGACACAACAGTGCCAGGTGAGGACAGGTCACCCTGGGTGGAGTTGGGTTGGACCTCAGAGGGGAAGAGAAGGCATGGAGCAGATGGGGCGGTGTGGGAAGGGAGTGGAGGAGCCGGTGTGGCCCCGCCAGGCTCTGGAGGTAGCAGAAAGGCCTGGATTTGTGTGCTGATAGCAGCATCTCTAGGGACACGCTGGCGCCTTGAGGAGGCCACAGGGAGGCAAACGGGACAGGGCAGGCCACTCGGGCCATGCAGAGCCGCTCCATATAGGCCCCACTCCGGACACATGAACTTCTGCATGGCTTGGCTTCCCTTGTACAAGAAACCCAGAATGCACATAAAGAGCAAAAGAACAGAAAACTGCAATTAAAAACTTAAAAAATCTAATTCAACATTGGAGTCACCTCAGGCCCACAAAGCTGACAAGGCTGCCTGGGACGGGGACCTTTAGGGCAGCTCCTCTGGAGCTCAGAGAATGCAACGGGGTGGGGGCGCGGCGGGAGGGGCAGGCTCTGGGTCAGAGCCGGGCTGGGAAGGCGGAAGTGACACTTCATCTTTTAGGTTCAGGAGCTAACTTGTTCTCTGAGACTAACGACCATGCTGCTAGGGTAATAGTACCACCTCTCAGGATGGAAGGTTCTGCTTGTTCCTTTGTGAGACAGGGTCTCACTACATAGTGCAAGCTGGCCTTGAACTCTCCATAGTTTTCCTGACTCAGCTTCCCGAGGGCTAGGACCACAGGTGTGCACCACCACGCCAGCCATCACTTTATCCTGATGCTTCCTCTGAGAGGGAGCGTACGGCTCAGGTGCCACAGACCGGGCCCAAGAGGTCCATAATGGTGTGGCGATTCCAGGATGAGGCCAGGACACAGGTGCCCAGTGAAAACTTGAAGTCAGTGACCTCGAGGCAGCACAGGGACACGGATGTCAGAATTAGCTGTGACTGCATGAAAGCAGAGCTGCATGCACGCTGTGAGTGGCAGGATGAGTACAAGGGGCCTGGAGGGTGGGAAGGGGAAGGGATTGTCCCACACTTTACCCACCAGCGACGGCCCTCGCGCCCTGTCCCCTGGGGGATCCCCAGCATCTCGCTTTAGGGATCCTGACGATTGCCTCACGCTCAGCCTGACCCAGAGCGCAGGCAGCAGGCAGGCAGAGAGGAGCTGCTCAGCCCCATCTGGGATCGCCCAGGATGCTGCGGGAAGTGGTTCGGGGAAGTGGAAGGGATGCTCCAGGCCTGGGCTCCTCATCCTCTCCTCCTGTCTTTAATGACTGAGGCCAGTGCCTCTAGCAGCAGTGATGGGTGGGCACGTCTGTCCTTACAGTGGCAGGGAGACAGTCCTCACCCAAGCTGGACGGTGCAGGTCAGCTGCAGACAAAGGACAGCTGTGCAGAGCAGTGACGATGGTAAACAGAGGTAGGAAATGAGGAGGTGTCTGGATCCCGTAATTAAGAAAACTCGGACCGTCACTTCTACCTATCCACCTATTCAGTCAGTGCATCCGCTGAAAGCCCAGCTGTCCTCATGGGATACAGACAGACCCGGCCAGCAGCTGGATGGGGTTCTGGGGAGCAGTGTACCAGGAGTCTGACAGTACTGTTGATGCCAAGCACACTGTGCCGCCAGCTCTGGAGGGGCCCGGGGCAGCCCCACCACCAAATGTGCACACAGCCGCCATAAAGGAAAGCCAAATCCTGCCCTCTCCTCCTAGGAGAGGTGCGCAGGACCTAGCATTTAAACTGCACGTACCTGATACTCGGGGATGGACCGCACCGCCTCCACGATAGCCAGGGACATAAGGTGCTGGACAAACGGGATCCTCTGTCCCAGATGGGACCTCAGGGGGATGGACAGCAGCACCGTAGAGAGGGCACATCCCAAGGGGCTCAGCCATGCGTTCGGCCCCCGCCCTGGAAGACAAAGGAATCTCAGCCCCAGAGCCAGGTGTCCCATTCAGCCCTGTGCAGTTGCCTGCCTGGTTGCCCTGGGTTACTCAGAGGAAGATGCTTCCTAAGGTACTGTGCTGCTGAAGGCCCTTCCCGTACTAAGCAAGCACCCTGCCCCCAGGCACACGTAGTTTACGTGGGGCTGGTCGATGCTGAGCAGCATCTGAACAGTGCCCTGGGGCTCATCCTGACCAATGGTCAGGGTTGGGGACAGAGACAGAGGACACTGGGAAGAAACTCGTGCTGACCCTGAGGAGCACTGGAAGCCACTTTGCAACCCTGCTGTGATGATGCTGGCTTGAATCAGAGAATATACTAAGCTGGGCTGCACCTTCTAGGGGGACTCTGGTGTATGAATTTCCCTTCGGTAAAGTCATTTTAAAAAGCTGACCCCAATCATAAGTCTCTAAGTTGTGACTTTTCTTCAAACTGAGGTTAGGAAAGCCAAGTCATTTAAGTGAGAGACTAAGTCAAAGCTCTTCTGGAATACTTTCTTAAAAATCCATCATACTGGGTCCTTATAGCTGTCATAAAATAATTCTTCTCCTTTTTTGAGTTATGCTCAAGAGAAAGAAGTGGAAAGCAGAGATTGGGAGCTGCTCCTTGCATTGGAGGACTCGGGCTCGGGCCTCTGGCCGCAGGTGGAGGGAACCCAGCAGCCCCTGCTTCCCTGTGGTCACCGTGGGGAGGACACCAGTGATGTCCATTCCTGTGGATTCCAGTGCTAATGAGAGGTGACTGGCAAGGGAGAAGCCCCTCCCTGTGACATTTCCCATGGACACAGGCTTGCTCTAGATCTCACAGGGACCTTCAGTAAAACAGACGTGTCCAGAACACGTTACGATTCACAAACTACAAGGACAGGTCCCCTGGATGTCAAGTGATGAGCAGACACTGCAGCTGTAGAGAGTGACTGAATTCCGTTTGGGCCAAAGTGTCCCCCTACAGCTTCCTTCCCTCTCACCCCATTTTTGGCGAGCGTGAACACAGAGCAGGATCTGATTCGAGCTGTCTCAGTGATCAGCACACATAATCAACAGGCTCTCTGGCCACCAGAATCACAGATTTTAGAAAAGAAAACAACAACAAAGGTAACAAAAGACGACTGACCTTTGCCCTGAGTCTGCCGGCCCGCGATGGCTATTAAACCCATTTCCTGCGGCATCTCAAACATCAACCTGCAAGCGGTGGGAAGACCGGTCAGCTAGAACAGGACACAGGCAGCTGGGCCAGAGCTCACACAGAAAGCAGGGCAGGATTGTCCACCTGTGTGTGTGGCCCAGGAAGGGCAACTGTAGGATTTCTACAGTCCCCAGGGATGTACACCGTGGAGGGGGCACTCCTCCTTCTCCTTTTCCTTCTCCTCCTCATTCTTCTTTTCTTTTTAAAGCTAGAATCTCACTAATAGTTCAGGTTGGCTTTGAACTCATGATATAGCCCAGTCTGGGCTTCAACTTATGGCAATCCTCCTGCCTCAGCCCCCTAAGTGCTAGGATTATAGGCACCAGCACACCTGGCTTCTTTCTAGTTTCCGTGAGGTGAATGATGGAGAAGTAAGAATAAAGAAAATGTCATTTAATGGCAAAAACGGGTGTAGAGTTATCAGACGGGAAGGAAGGCTGAAGTCGCCTGAGCTGCTTTCTGTTTAAGACTTGGTTAGACTGTGCTTTTCTGGAGTATCTGATTTGAGTTCTTTCTTTCCTGTCTGGTGTGTGTACCTTCTTCAAGTGACAAATCCCAACATTTGTTTTTACTTACGGTGTGTTTCTGTTGGAACACTGGTACACAACAGTAACAGAAGTTTCTGATTATTCAGAAAAACCAATATGGTGGCTATAAAGCCGTTTAAAAGATACACTATCCCCTGAGAACTAATTATGTTTTAACTACAGTAAATAAATCTACACCTTCTGAGAACTCAAGAGAACCCTGGATCATTTTAGGCTTCAGTTCTGCTTTTAAAATGGTTTCGCATAAAAGAATACAAACCTCCCTTTTGGGGATAGGGAGAAAAGTGCTCTAATCTCCCCCTAACCAGTCAAAATTAGCTGGAGTTTTTCCCCAAAATGAAATGACGGACACACACGTGCACACGCATGCACGTGCGCACACACACACACACAGAGGCAAAAATCCCTGACTGAGAATTTCCTCTGAGAAACTCACTTCTACATATTTCCAGTCCACATTGGGAATTTTCCTCCTCCTTCTGACAGTGTAGCACAGGGCAGGGTGCATTTCACTGTGCAAGTTGTAGTGCAGGGCAGGGTGCATTTCACCGCCCTAGTGTCTGCTTTGGGGGGCAGCAGGGCAGAGCCCAGGGAGAGGTGGTACTTCGACTTAGCATAAAGTTTCTAAGAATCAGCCTGGAGGGGTCGGCGATAACCCTGGCAGGAGACAGCGGCTCTAAAAACAGAAGACGGGTGCTCTGAGCTCTCGTCTCTCCTCTGGGCTACAGGAACCGGGGGGAATTTTGCACAGGGCTGGCATTCAACAAGAAGAAGCCTCCAGCAGAAAAGCAAAGGGCACAGGGCATCCCCGCCCTGTGCCCAAGGGCTTGAAGGGTTCTGCTGCCTGGCACCCCCGGCTTAGGCTACAGGGGCCGGAGGTGGGAGACCCCTGGCTCCATGGGCAGGGCTTGTTGGTTCCCAGTGCCCTCCCCAGCCAGACACAGGGCACCCCAGGAGAGCCCCACGTGTGCCAGTCCACTTGCATTGCACAAGAAATACAGCCCCACAGGTATTTCTCTTGGACACTGTGAATAACCCATTGAGAGCAAGTGTGCCCATGCAGCCCTGAGTTCCCAGAATAAAGCTTCCTTTTCTTGTGTTGGACCAGCAGGAAACCCTAAGAAGGATTCTTTGCCCACCCAGGATTAACATTATCTCCCAGAACCTCTGCTCTCCAGCAGGCTGAGCGACCCTTTAGCCGGGCTCCTGAGGCCCAGGCTTGGGGAGAGCGGCCTGGAGTGGGGTCAGCTCACTGGGAGCCCACTGCAGGGCTCTGGACAGCAAGCACTCTCCCAGCTCTGTAAATAAACATGTGCACAGTAGACAGGCATGGTGATGGTGGAAGGGGTGGGGGTGCAGGAAAAGGGGGGTGCAGAAACCAAACCCAGACTTCTAGAACAAAGAGAAATGATTAAGGGAACATATGCACTAAACTGCTAGAGGCTTGGCAGCAGTTAACAGGGCATATTAATGAGAGGAGCGAGTCTGCGCCGCTGACGGCCAAGAGGAAATCTGTGAGGAGGGAGACGGGGGTGGGGGGGGGGCGCCTCTAATGCTTAGCTCGAGACAACTGGAGGCCGCCAGATTTATTTGTGCTATCGGAGATAACTCTGGGGGCCAAACCGCATGGCTCGCGGTCAACAAAGACACCATTTAGAGTCCCCCTTCTGCAGGTCTGAAAATGAAGCTGCTGCAGCTCGATTTAGCAGAAGTAAGCAGGCCTAAATGCATTTCCATCTTTCCTTGATGATGGCTCACAAAAGGGAAAGGAGAGGGGAAGGGCTTCCACGAGGATTTCCTTCCTGCTTGGCCAAGGCCACGGGATAAGAGACTTCTGTGAGTGGCACCAAAGGGCACCCTGGAAAAGCCTCTGCTGCGCTCCTGGTACTTCCAGAGCCCCCAGGGTCACTGTACAAACCAGTGGCCCCCTGGGTGAGTCTTTTGGTTCCTGAGGACACCACAGTCCCCCAGGGGGCACTGCCGAAGAATACCCTGGTTTCCACGGGGTCAAGATGAGGTTTTGAGACTTGAGACTAATCCAGAAGACAGGCCGGGGAATGAGTGAAAGCTCTGGGTGCACAAGAAATTTAAAATCAGACTCGAGCTGCCCACTGTGGGGATCTGAACCCAAACTGTCCCCATTTACCACTGCGCTATAAAAGCAGAAGCTTGGGAGTGGGAGTGACCTAATGGTTCACGAGGGGAACAGTTCCCTGAATTATGGGACGTGAGGTCAACAGAATAATTTGCACCATTAAAAATGACAGCTATGAACACTATATAGCAATGTGGGAGAAACGAATGCCATAAAAATGTTAACTAGAAAGGCAAGCTATGTCCCACACTTTTATTCCATCTAGGTAAAATTCACAGAAAAGAGACTTCACAAGACGTTAACGGTGACTGTGTTAGGAGGATGTTTTTAAAAACTTTCCTTTGGTTGCCCTTTAATTCAAAAATTATTTTGATTTTTTGTGTATGTGAAAAAGCATGCTTTTTACATTTAGATATAACTTTTGTAACACACTATTCATAAATATTTCTAGGAATGAGGCCAAAAATTCTGTTTTTAAAATAAAGAGGATCTGAGGAATAAAAACAATCAAGATGCAATATGTATCTGTTCCAAATCCCCAAGATGGGCATAATCATGCATCACGCACTAATATATATTAAAGGGGATACAGAAATTTAGAAAGTAAAGATAATGCTGTGAAAAAGGGAGCAAATTCCCCAGTTGCTATAATAAAGTATCATAAAAAAGAACCAGTGACAGCTATCTGCAGCGCTCGCTTTACTATAAACAGTGGATAAGAGCCTGTTTGCTAGAAATTAGTGGGTTCCTAAAACCAGTCTGCTCGTATGCACCACAGCCTCAGAAATCAAATCCTTTTTACCCAGTGACTATACTTCCAGAACTGGATCCTGAAGACAAGGAAACAATGTGGTCCCAGGGCATAAAGACAGACAATAGCTGACTGACACACTGTGAAAATCAGGAACAAGCCAAGCGGGGCCTGGTAAAGGGATGAAAAATCACAGTGTCACCAAGAGAGAAACGCCCTGCAGCCATCTGTGCTAGGGACCAAGGCCACTGGACAGTATCATGTGACATCACAGGACACATGTCCTAAACACAGCATGACTGTGATGGTGACCTAAAACCTAAGTTGTAGGAAACACCCACAAGGCAGAAAACAAGTCACCCAGCAAGTGCTTCTCATTAACTCTGTTCTTCCAGGATTTTCCTGTACTGGAAAATTACACAGAGACATGTTCTACAAGGTAAGTGCCTGACAGTTTGAATGTCTGCATTAAGTGATGTTTTAGGTGGACAGTAAGGGACATTTTTTTCTATGTTGATAAGTTTCTTTGTGAGGTACTAAGAGACAAAGCAGGACACACAATAACAGCCATTATCCCCGAAATGTGGTGACAGAATTACATGAGGATTTAAACTTGTTAGTCCAAGAGATTTCTGGGTAGTAAGCATTCAAGTGACTTTGATTTCTCTTCTGTAGATTTCTTCTGAAATTTCCAGTATTTCTATAATTGGGCTACGCTTCTAGTCAGAAAACAGTGCTATGAAGAAAGATTTATTTAAGCCCAACTTTTCTGATTAAGTAGGTTAGGTCTCACACTAGCTAGTGTGTTGGTGAAACAAATTCCTTCTGTCCCACGATCACAAACCTGCAGTGACCAGGTGGCCGTAGGCTGCAGGGCACATGCTTATCACACCTGCCTGGCACGGGTGCCCTGCACAGGGCGGCAGGCTGAGGCCTGGTTAAAGGCTACACGTGGTCCCCTGGGGAACAGTTTGTCTCTGGAGCCCCGCTGTGGTGTGGCCTTTACAAGCTACTGTGCAGCGTCTGGGGACGAGACCTTCCCTGGCCCCACGGTACATGCAGGGCCTCCCCTTCCCCCGCAGTGCAGCTGGGGCGTCCTCAGCATCAACTGCAGGTGCTTCTCAGCGCCTGGGAGGACAGCCCAGACAAGGCGGTGCTTCCCCACTCAGACCCCTCTCTCAGTGTTCAGAGACACACTCCACATTTGCAGGCTCCCTTTAAGTCTTCAAGGTGTGAAAATATTGGAGGAAGGGGGTAGGTTCTCGGAGGAGGACAGACGGGACCTAGGCAGTGACACACTAAGCCTTTACACTGCCATCTGAGTATTAAGCAGTGTTTTAGAACATGGTTTCTCACTCGTCACAGCCCCATGGGCCTCTGTGTAGCTGAAGCAATGATGGTGAACCTTTCAGAACTCGCAATGGTAACGAACAGCCCATTTCGGTACATGTGCCAGAGGTTCGCCATCACTGGCTGGAAGGAAAGGCCAGTGAACTATATTTCAAACCATCCTCTTAAAATACGTGACACTCTGGAGCCAATCACTGCATCTGCATAGCCTGTTTTAAGAATTTAAAAAGATACAATATCAAGATTTTTGCT